ATATATATATATATATATATATATATATATATATATATATATATATATATATATATATATATATATATATATATATATATATATATGTTTCCTCTTCATAAAAAAAACGATTGGGCCACAGCATTACCTGGTTGACCCGTGACCTCGTGGATGAAATTTGCCCGTGACATCGTGGCTGACCTTTGACTGTGACCTAGCGAGGCTCGTCAGCGGGGACCGGACATGACCTCACGTGATACCGACTTTCTTCCCATGGGAGATCCAGTATGGCACCTTGGGACACACTTGCCCCTGGCACTGGTGGAGGGTTACAGGGGTATCCCATACCCATCTTGTAGTGATGGAGGGTTACAGGGGTACCCCATACCCATCCTGTGGTGATGGAGGGTTACAGGGGTATCCCATACCCATCCTGTGGTGATTGAGGGTTACAGGGGTATCCCATACCCATCTTGTAGTGATGGAGGGTTACAGGGGTATCCCATACCCATCCTGTGGTGATGGAGGGTTATAGAGGTATCCTATACCCATCCTGTGGCGGTGGAGGGTTACAGGGGTATCTCATACCCATCCTGTGGTGATGGAGGGTTACAGGGGTATCCCATACCCATCCTGTGGTGGTGGAGGGTTACAGGGGTATCTCATACCCATCCTGTGGTGATTGAGGGTTACAGGGGTATCTCATACCCATCCTGTGGTGATTGAGGGTTACAGGGGTATCTCATACCCATCCTGTGGTGATGGAGGGTTACAGGGGTATCCCATACCCATCCTGTGGTAGTGGGGAGTTACAGAGGTACCACATACCCATCTTGTGGTAGTGGGGAGTTACAGAGGTACCACATACCCATCCTGTGGTGATGGAGGGTTACAGGGGTATCCCATACCCATCCTGTGGTGATGGAGGGTTACAGGGGTATCTCATACCCATTGTGAAGTGATGGAGGGTTACAGAGGTATCCCATACCCATCCTGAAGTGATGGAGGGTTACTAAGGTACCACATACCCATCCTGTGGTGGTGGTGGATGGGTTACAAAGACACTCAATACCCATCCTTGTGGGTATCCTGTGGTGGAAGGGTTACAGAGATATTCAATACCTATCCTGTGGTGGTGGTGGAAGGGTTACAAAGACACTCAATACTTATCCTGTGGTGATGGGTTACAGAGGTTCCCCATACCCATTTTGTGGTGATTAGTTACTGAGGTACCACATACCCATCCTGTGGTGGTGGTGGGTTACAGAGGTACCACATACCCATCCTGTGGTAATGGTGGGTTACAGAGGTACCACATACCCATCCTGTGGTAGTGGGGAGTTACAGAGGTACCACATACCCATCTTGTGGTAATGGGGGTTATAGAGGTACCACATACCCATCCTGTGGTGGTGGTGGGTTACAGAGGTACCACATACCCATCCTGTGGTGGTGGTGGGTTACAGAGGTACCACATACCCATCCTGTGGTAATGGTGGGTTACAGAGGTACCACATACCCATCCTGTGGTGGTGGTGGGTTACAGAGGTACCACATACCCATCCTGTGGTAATGGTGGGTTACAGAGGTACCATATACCCATCCTGTGGTGGTGGTGGGTTACAGAGGTACCACATACCCATCCTGTGGTAATGGTGGGTTACAGAGGTACCACATACCCATCCTGTGGTAGTGGGGAGTTACAGAGGTACCACATACCCATCTTGTGGTAATGGGGGTTATAGAGGTACCACATACCCATCCTGTGGTAATGGTGGGTTACAGAGGTACCACATACCCATCCTGTGGTAATGGTGGGTTACAGAGGTACCACATACCCATCCTGTGGTAGTGGGGAGTTATCACATACCCATCCTGTGGTAGTGGGGAGTTACAGAGGTACCACATACCCATCTTGTGGTAATGGGGGTTATAGAGGTACCACATACCCATCATATGGTAGTGGAAGGGTTACAGAGACTCCTCCATACACAAGGTTGGGTGGACTTGTCTGGTATCATGCGCCATTGTCAACTACCGTCCATCATGATGAATTCTCACAAATGACAAATAAAAGCCATACAATAAACTATTTATTTATAAGTTTTTCCTATCAACTATGATAAAAATTACAAAATATATTGTATATACGTTTACTGTATTCATATGTTGTATATATATTGATACAACCGGCACTGATAAAATGTGTATCAAGAGGGAACAAACGAGTCCAGATGCAGTGGATCACCTAGTTGTTGTCTTAGATTCAGCTACTCGGAACAAATGTTCCAAGTAGCACGGGCTATGGTGAGCCCATAGTGGACTTAGTGGATCACCAATGACAAATAAGGTGAGCACTTATCTTATTTGGATGCCTTTCCTACCAGTATTTTGATCAAAGAAATAAACAACTTACTTCATTTACAAATATGACAACAAATATATTGTAACAAATCTAGTAGATCATTCAGGAACCGACAGTCTGATACATAGCTCGGTTACTTGGTTTCAGGTCGAAGTCTGTCAATGACAGACACAAATAAGCAATTATCAAAAAGTAACTGCCTAGCCCAAGGGCTACATATAGCACCGTCTATGTTACAGAATAATATACATTTTCTAGATATCATTTAGGATGCCAGTATGAGAGAAGAAAGATACAATACAAGCAGTATCAACCCTGCAACCACACAATGTAACGATCCTTATGATTCCCTTGTTACACCTTGTAATAAAGTTGTTACATCTTATCATAACGTTTTTATGACGTATTAGAATGTTGATACAAATTGCTGTACTGGTTGTTACAATTGTTAGGTCTTATACCTTGTTCGAACAGTGTAGCAATGTTGTAGGTTCATCCTGTGTTTGGTGGAAAGAGTCTGATTCACAGAGGATCATATTGAGAGGAAATAAGTCTCAAAGACACAGTGGCAGAGGCACTGAAGTTGATATTTATCCTACAATATGCTGCTAGCTATTGTTATATTCTTATAAATGTACTAGCTTGTCTTCTGAAGGATGACTGAAAATACAACACACGTCCTGCCAAACACACGACAAAACTACGTTACTACAACGTTCGAACAATTTTTAACCCCTCCTAACCAGTTGTAACACCAACAATAGCAAGGTGTAACAACGTTCTAACAGCGGAAAATAGGGACAGTTACGTTGTGTGTTTGCAGGGATGATGCTCTCCATCCATCTATTTATGTCATGGGCCTGAAATCAAATACTGTACAGAGTTATACAATACATCTATATGCATATAATTTGCTAGTTCCCATTTATACAACCATTTATGTGGCAACTCTAGATAATATATTATATGTCCTAATTATAGATCTTTAATGCCCTCATATTTTCAGATGCTATTGAGTAAAGTCACACTTGAGTAACAGCAACAAGCAGAGCCGGTGATGTTGCCACTGGGGAAACACAGATCAAATAGGGTTCTAAATTACTATAAGTTGAGCCTTTTGGTGTCACAGAGAAAACTCCACATCTTGTAATAGGGGATGCTTTAAACATAATTCCTATTGTTAGAAACAGTTAGCCTGTCCATAATATATATATATACAGTGGTACCTCGGTTTAAGAGTTTAATCCGTTCCTGGAGACAGCTCGTATTCCGAAAACTCGTAATCCAAGGCTAATTTCCCCATAAGAAATAATGGGAAATGAATTAATCCGTTCCTGACTACCCCAAAAATCTCACTTCAAACTAAATTTTATACCTAATTCATCTAAATAAACCTACAAAACTATGTTCAAGTTATTACTTACCCTTGCTGATGAATGCTGTAGGCGTATGGAAGATGGTAAGGAGAGGGGAGGAGGAGAGATGTGGTGGATATGGATGACACTATGACACTATGGATACCACTTCTTTTTCTAAATTTTTCAAACCATCCCCTGCTTGCCTTAAAGTCTATCGTATCTGCACTCGTTCTAGGGGTTTTCTTTACAAGGTCTTCATGCAATACCCTGGCTTTCTCACAAATGATGGCCTCTGAAACACTATCGCCCGCTAACTCCTTGTTGTGTATCGTAATTAATAACAACTTTTCCACTCTACAAGTATTTGTGGTCTTTATTTCGTGATCGTTCTTACGCCTTTTGCCAATATAGCACTCATAATGTCCTTTTTCTTGCTAAGTATAGTGCATATCGTTGACGTGGCTTTGTTGTACTGCCTACAAAGTTCAACAACACGTGTACCATTTTCATGCTTCCGAATGATCTCTTGTTTTTCCTCTATTACCCTCACATGTGCTTTCTTGCCTTGATCCTTACGCTGGCTTTCTTGGGACCCATGGTGAGATATATAATAACAACTTTTATGGTCAAATGACCAAAAATCCAACAAAACACTGAAAATCCGGGTGAAGAATTGACGTGGGATAGTCACTGGGCTCCTGGCACTGGTAAACTGAGAGGTGAGGGGCGACGATCGCCGTATCACCACGCACTACAGTAGTTCGGCCTGTATGGGTGTCAACAAACTCGGATTCCGAGGTAACCCTCGCCTTCTGAGGCACATTTTCTGAGGAAATCCTGCTCGTATTCCGAAAAACTCGTATACAGGGACACTCGTATTCTGAGGTACCACTGTATATATATATATATATATATATATATATATATATATATATATATATATATATATATATATATATATATATATATATATATATATATATATATATATATATATATATATATATATATATATATATATATATATATATATATATATATATATATATATATATATATATATATATATATATATATATATATATATATATATATATATATATATATACTGTATATGAACTACTGATCTTCCTTAGGATGCAACCCCTACAATGCCTGTAGTTGCTATTTATTTAATGCCCCATCCAGGAATCGAATTAGGAGTCCTCAACTGTAAGTTGAGAAGGAAGCCACTTGAAGAAAACACTGTCATCACTTACCCAAAGTAACCAAAGTCTCGGGAAATACTGACCTACAGATATACGTAACAAATGTTTCATTACCCATATTACAAGAATTATCACACAGTATAAAAAGATGTTAACTACATATATCTAATTTATTAATGTTTAAAACCAAGTTGATTTTTCTGTAGCAGTTATGCCTTCGTTCTGCAATCTGGTGATGAGAGGCTTGTAGATGTCACGCGTAAATGGAAGAACCATGCCATTACCCTGGATCTCTCCATCCAAGACCATCTTGGTGGCAATGGCGGTTGGATAGCCCACAGTCTTTGCCATGGCCGAGTAACCATTGGGATCGCCATACGTCACCAAGTTGATGCCCTTTAACTCTTTCCTGCCATCTGGCCAAGTGATACCAATCTCATGACGAAGAACGATTAAATCACGCTCGCCAGGTCCTGCAAAAACCACACAATTAAGCAGCTGTGGAAACTAGAGAGGTGTGTGATGGATATTAATGAAAGTAGAAACGATGCAGTTAATGATTTTCCTGATTTCCAGAGGGCCGCTAAAACTAGTGGCCTCGACAAGGACAGGAAGCTGGAAGCTTGTTGAAGGTCCTCCCCATTTACCTTGATGATGTAAGTGTATACAAGCAGTGAAGCCATGAGGATGTCATTCAGAGAGCCTGTACAGTGTTCTGGAGACAACAGCCAGTGGACCTCCTACTCAAGCACTAATACTGTAAACACTCATAAGAAATAAGTGGTCCTGTAAGCTCAGTGGTCAGTGTAGTCGTTCCAGGCTTAATTCCCAAACAGTATGAAGACTTCCAAGAAACCAAGAGGTTACTTGGTATCTTCTTGAGGTTACTTGGTTACTTCAGTCCTACCTGAAGAGGTTCTCCACCCATTTGGATTACTGTATCCAGGCATCGAAACCTCATTTTCAGAAGGACATAGCTGCTCTGGAGAAGGTGCAACACTGGGCAACAAAAGTCATTCCAGAGCTAAGTCAACTCTTGTACATGGAGTGGTTGAGGGCCACAGGGCTAACAACACTGCAAACCAGGCATGACAGGGTGGATCTCATTGAAACTTTTAAAATACTGAATAACTTAGAGGATGTTGATTTGGATATTTTTTCAGAAGGTCAGATGTAACACAAACAAGGAACAACGGTGCCAAGCTCAACAAGCCACAATGTAGGACTGAGAACAGGAGATGATTTTTCACCCATAGAGTTATTAACCCATGGAACCGCCTACCAGCCCAAACCGTAACTTCCAAAACGGTACCGAGTTTCAAGATATACTTGGAAATGATCAGCAAGGCAAATGGGGGGGGACCTTCGACAAGCCACCAGCTTCGTGTCCTCATCGAGGCCACTAGGGTTAGTAGCCCTCAGGTAAATCAGGTAAAAGTACCTATTTACTGCTAGGTGAACAGATCTATCAGGTGTAAGGAAACCTGTGAGTTAGGCAACTGTTCTTGGTTGTATCCTAGGAAAATTCATTCATTTTCCCGGGGCAAACCTTGACAAGCCTAACGTACTTCTTGTCCCTAACAAAGGAAACCAAATGCCATAATTCACATCCTCTCATGATGTACAAATCCTCTCATGTTTACTCTATATATTTAAAACTCTAAACTGTAATGCCAATCCTGACCTTAAACAAATCCTAGACGGTTGTAACAGATCCCATAAGCACCACACCAGAAACAAAAACCTATTTGATATTCCAAGAGTACGACTTAACCAAACTAGAAATGCTCTACAAATCAAGGGACCCAGAATGTGGAATGACCTTCCCAATCATGCCAAAGACTGTACCTCTCTCAACCAGTTTAAAAGAAAACTAAGTACTACCTAATAAACTCCATGTAATCTACCTTACTTCCTAAATGTCAACCCATGTCTTGCTATTTTCAAATAATACTGTTTGTTGACCAAGTTGTAAAATTGCTGATTTTTGCCATGTTACCCCCCCCCCCCTCCCTCCTTTTTCCTTTTTCTACACAATTTATACTTTGATCTCAATTAGTATTAAGTTTTAGTCTAAGTGTTCCCCCTCCCCCCCCCCCCCCCCACCTTGCCTGAAATGCTATGGGTATTAGTGGGTTTAGGTATTGTAGGTACTACCTCTATCTATAAATCCAACATTATCTTTGTAACGCATCTTCTATGTATGTACTTTTACCTAAATAAACATATTTTTTTTTTTTATAAGGTACCATTGTGGACACAAACCCTGAAAATTTCATTAGATACTTTGGTGAGCTAATCTCTTCAAATACTTGCCAAGCATTGTTTCTAAAATACAGAAAGGTGGTCTTATTAACCTTCCAGTGGTTACAGTATTTATAAACTTAAACTGCCATGAATAAACTTGAAGAAAATTGGAGTCTGTTTATTTAGTTAAAATTACTTCTGCTGTTATGTTGCAATTTCTGCTGTTCCATCCATCATGTAATTACTGTCATCTTCCCCCATCCTATTTCAATTCAATTCATGCTTTTCATCTCAATTAGATTTGTCTTAGTTTTTAAGTGTTTTCCTCACATCTTGCCCATAATGCTGTGCATATTAGTGGTTTTAGGCCTAGTATATACTAGCTCTATCTAGTAGTTATACATTCTGCTTGTAACTCATTTGGTATGTACCCTATGTACTTTTATCTGAATAAACATAATAATAATAATAATAATAATAATAATAAATTATTATTATTATTATTATAAAAAAAATCAAAATCAAAATGTTTATTTAGGTAAGGTACATACATAAAAGAGATTTTACAAAGAGTAATGGATTTATAGTTAGGGCTAGTACATACAATGCCTAAAGTCACTATTACGCAAATCGTTTCGGGCATAAAAAACTTAAATGACTAAAGCTTAATACTAATTGAGCATAAAGAGTAAAATGAAAACATGGAATGAAAACATGGCTGAAAAAGCAGCACAAATACAATTCTGTCGACAAACAGCGCTCTTTAAAAAAAAAAAAACATTGGATGACATTAGAGGGGTAAGGTAGGTTACAGGGAATTTATTAGGTATAGCTTCGTTTTTATCTTAAACTGGTTGAGAGAGGTACAGTCTTTAACACGGTTGGGAAGGTCATTCCACAATCTGGGTCCCTTGATTTGTAGAGCATTTCTAGTTTGATTAAGTCGTACTCTAGGAATATCAAAACTATTTATTTCTGGTGTGGTGCTCATGGGTTCTGTTACAACCGTCTATGAAGCTTTTGAGGTCAGGATTGGCATTACAGTTTAGCGTTTTATATATGTATAATACACATGAGAGAATGTGCAGTGACTTAATGTCTAACATATTCAGAGATTTGAGTAGGGGTACCGAGTGATGTCTGGGGCCAGAGTTGGATATTGTCCTAATAGCAGCTTTGTGTTGAGTAATTAGAGGACGTAAATGATTTTGGGTAGTAGAACCCCAAGCACAAATACCATAGTTGAGATATGGATAGACATTATTATGTTGAGAAATTATTATTTTTACCTGAATTTACCTGAGGGCCACTAATCCTAGTGGCCTCGGCGAGGACAGGAAGCTGGCAGCTTGTCAAAGGGCCCCCAATTTGTCCTGATAATCGTTTCCAGCTGTATTTTAAAACTCAGCAGAGTTTTTGGGAGTTTACAGTTTTGGCGGGTAGGCAGTTCCACAATCCTATGGGTGAACAAGCATCTCCTATTTTCAGTCTTACATTGTGGCTTATTGAGCTTGATACCGTTGCTCCTCGTTCGTGTTACCTCTGACTTTCTGAAGAAATTGTCCCGATCAACATCCTTCAAATTGTTCAGTATTTTAAGTTTCGATGCGATCCGGTTTGCAGTTTTGTTAGCCCTGTGGCCCTCAACCATTCCTGATGCAAGAGATGACTTAGCTCTGGAATGATTTTAGTTGCCCAGTGTTGCACCTTCTCCAGAGCAGCTGTGTCTTTCTGAAGATGAGGTCTCCATGCCTGAGTACAATAATCCAGGTGGGGTCGCAACAGAGACTTATACAATTGAATGACTACCTTCTTTTCCTTAAAGGTGAAGGTACGCTTGATTATTCCAAGGGTTAGGGTTGGCTTTTTTTACTGCTGCTCCCACTTGTTGTGCAACTTTCAGTGAATGATGGATTCTGACTCCAAGGTCCTTTTCTTCATCTATCTGTTGTAATGTTTTGTTTTGTCAAGCTATGCTTTCATATGTCAAGCTATGTTTTCATTTCTTGTTTTCATTCTACTTTCATAACTACTTTCTTTCATACTACTTCTACTTTCATACTACTTTCATCCTTTCATAATGTCAAGCTATGTTTTCATTTCTTGTTTTCATTCTACTCTTTATGCTCAATTAGTATTAAGCTTGTCATTTAAGTTTTTCATGCCCGAAACGCTTTGTGTAATAGTGGCTTTAGGCATTGTATGCACTAGCTCTACCTACAAGTCAACCAATCATTGTAAAAATTTCTTGTATGTATGTACCTTACCTAAATAAACACTTATTTATTTATTTATTTATTTATTTATTTATTTATTTATTTATTATTATTTATTTATGTAATTCTGTTAATTTAGTAGTTGTGACGAGGATTGTTATGGCCTACATGCAAGATCTTGCATTCATCGACATTAAAAAGCACTTGCCAGTCTTTTGACCATTTGTGGAGTTCATGTAGATCTCTTTGTAAGGTCTCAATATCACTTTCCCTTCTTACTTTACCATAGATCTTAATGACATCTGCAAATTTGATGATGTGGTTTGTAATATTCTCATCTATGTCATTGATGTATGTGAAAAAAACGTTGGCCCCAAAATGGACCCTTGTGGGACCCTACTTACACACTTCCCAGCAATTATTTATGTGGGGTTACCTCTTTCATGCAGTTTTTGTCACAAAATTCAACAAATACCTAATTTGAGCTAACAAAACTATAGAGAAAATTATGGGGAGTTTATAAAAAACAAGCAAATATTCCATGTGCTTTAGTCTGGAAGTCATATGCCAGAATATACATTTACATACACTCAAACCTTTAAACAAATGTGATCTCACTTAGCTTTAGTCTCTGTAGGCTTTTGTTACCTGTCTATCTTATATTGCACCTTCTTATGTATCTGTGAGAACATGAATAGGAGCATTTGAACCCGCACACCTGGTACTTACAAGTGACTGGGAGTACCCTGTGTGTGGTTCCAATCCTCTTTGTGGCTCCTAACTTTCTCATTAATACACAATAATGGAGTCAGTGCAACCCTCCACAAAGGGTATAATATAAGCTTTAAAACAACATCAATGCAAGAGGGAGGAGAGGAAATTATCAGGGGGAAAGTGCCAATCTATTACTGCTATATAGCACTGGGAAGGGGGTCAGGATAAGGCTTTGGGATGGGACGGGGGAAAGGAATGGTGCCCAACCACTTGGACAATTGAGGACTGAATGCCGACCTGCATGAAGCAAGACAGTAGCTCTACCATCCAGCCCAAGTGGTTGGGACAGCACTAATGAATGTACTTTGGCTTAAATCAATGAAAATGACAATATAACATAAGAGAGGAATGGTGGTGCGACGTACCAAGCTCGAGCCTCTTGGAGAGGTAGTGGGAGAGTGTGTCGAGGGGCGTGCCAGCCTTGTGCACCTGGTCGTCCTTCAGTAGTCCCAGCGCTTCAATGCTGTTAAGCTGGTTCTCGTTGTCCACCCGCTCTAACACCAGCGTCTTCAGGTTATCATAGAAGATATTGGAGTCCATTTGGCCGAGTAGACTACACAGCAGTTGTCTCTAAAAAACAAAGCCAGGGCCATTAGACACATGACTGACTTAATGTATCACTCAAACCCCAGAGAGAGATCACTCTCTGGGGATCACTCAAGCCCCAATACCTCACCCAAACCCCAGAGAGAGATCACTCTCTGGGGATCACTCAAGCCCCAATACATCACTCAAACTTCTCTTATACAAAGCACCACTTTTGTTGTGTGTACAGTAAGTCTCAAAAGCCATCTTTTCATCAATTAGATCTCATCAAATGAACAATATTTGTTCATGTGAGGAGTAGTGTTAGGGTAGAACTACTGGACCATAAGTCAGAGTGCATGGGTGGCAGTAAGACAAACCCTGATTGGGTTTCACTTGTTAGCTTCAGGACCCCTAAAGGATTCAGTGGAATCCCAAGTTGCATTGCTTTTGACCATGTCGTGGTGTGGTGGTCATGGGCGTTTGTTTGGGAGTACCATGTAAGCAGGATTGAATCCTCCTCGGGGCTGATTTTCTCATCAATACATTGTGTTTTCATTACATTATTATCATCATCATCATTACCATCACAATCGACTTGATAATGGTCCAAAACAGACCGAAATGTTATCGTTTCCTTATTTTCCTGTGTGTGGTTTAGTCTTCATTATCAATATTATTATTATTATTATTATTATTATTATTATTATTATTATTATTATTATTAAACAAATCCACAGGAGCCGTGATGCAGGTTCAAACCTATGTGCGGAGTGATCCCAGACGCGCTCTAGTCCACTGTACCACGACATGGTACCATGTTGTGGTACAGTTGCCTGGAGCACGTCTGGGAACACTCAGCGAATAGGTTTGAACCCTCATCACGGCTCCTGTAGATTTGTTCTTTGATATACAGTATCATGTTCATGTGATCTCTCTGTGTATTATTATTATTATTATTACTTGCACAATTAACTCACACTAATAATAATAATAATAATAATCAATACAATCAATCTGAGTTACCTATGTGCTTTAATATACCTACAAATTTCTCTCGTCTTTAATTTTTTTTCTTGCAATGTACCTGTTATTATTTTTATAAATTTTGCTAGTATTTACCTACTTAAAATTTTCTTAGATTAAGGACCTGCCCGAAACGCTACGCGTACTAGTGGCTTTACAAGAATGTAATTACTATGCTATGTATCCTTACACTTCCAATGTACCTTCTTGTATACAATATATATAAATAAATAAATAAATAAATAAATAAATAAATAAAAATAATAAAATAACTGAAGCAGGACAAGGCTGGTATGAGCATCACGGTTAAAAACCATATGTGTGCCATACTTCTAGGCCACAACAACAACACAATATTACTAGTTTAGTCATAAAATATTCGTTCTCTAGTTGTTTACACTGGTGTTGAAGCTCCACACTATAATACAGCAATGTTGTCTATCTAACCTGGTGAAACTTTACATGCCTAGGGAAAACAATGGAGTGTTGTCATTCTTTTGTTCTATTTCAGTTCAATTCATGCTTTTGATCTCAATTAGTTTCACATCTTAGTTTTTCCCAAATCTTGCCTAAAAAGGCTATGCCTATTAGTGACTTTAGGCCTAGTATATATGAGCTCTATCTAGAAATTCAGCATTCTCTTTGTAACTCATTTGGTATGCATGTACTTTTACCTGAATGCACCATTGATAATTTATAGAAATTATTATTACAGGCATACCTCAGAATACGATTTTAATCCGTTCCTGGAGACGCCTCGCCTTCCGAAAACTCGCATTCCGAAGTTAATTTCCCCATAAGAAATAAAGGGAAATGAATTAATCCGTTCCTGACTACCCCAAAAACCCCACATCAAACTAAATTTTTATACCTAATTCATCTAAATAAACCTACAAAAGTATGTTCCAGTTATTACTTACCTTACTGTCGAGTGCTGTAGGCGTATGGAAGATGGTGAGGAGGGGGGAGGAGGAGAGGAGTTACTGTTTGGAAGGGGAGTCCCCTTCCATAATCACATCAGGCAGTGAGGACCTTTCTGGTGTGCTCTCCCTGGGACGTTTAACCTGAGTGCCACTAGGTCCTGGTTGAGGCTCACTGCTCGATTTCCTCACCACAAATTTGTCCATGGAAGCTTGCTTTTCCCTTCTTCGCAAGCTCTCTCTGTAGTAAGGCATCACAGTGTCATTGAAAAGATTAAGACAACGGCCTACTACAGTTTTGTCTGGGTGAGTGTGTTCAATAGTTGTTTGAATCTCTTCCCACATCTGACACACCTTCTTCATTACTGCAGAAGGGACATTCGCTGGTGCTGTTGCCACCACCTCCTCCTCCACTGCAGAATCATTCGCTGCTGTGTTGGCTTCCTGTTCCTGTTGAAGGGCTAGGAGTTCTTCGGTGGTCAGTTCTTCGTTGTGTTCTTCCACCAACTCCTCCACATCATCACCATCCAATTCCAAGCCCATTTTCTGGCCTAGACTAACAATTTCCTCAACAATAGGCGCATCATTTATAGGCTCAAACCCCTCAAAGTCTAGTTCTCTCACACCTTCAGGCCACAATTTTCTCCAGCCAGAGATCAGGGTTCTTTGAGTCACTTCTTGCCAGGCTTTGTCAACGAGTTTTAAAGCACTAAAAATGTTAAAATGCTCTCTCCAGAACTCTTTGAGGGTGAGGTTTGTGGCTTCAGTCACTTCAAAACATTTCCGGAAAAGTGCCCTTTCATACAGTTTCTTAAAATTCGCTATGATTTTCTGGTCCATAGGCTGAATTAGAGGAGTGGTGTTAGGAGGAAGGAATTTAACTGTGAGGAATTTATTGCATTGAGGCATCAAATCATCTTCCAAGCCTGGAGGATGAGCAGGAGCATTGTCAAGGAGAAGCACGGCTCTGAGTGGCAATTGTTTCTCCTGCAGATATTTTTCTATGGCAGGGCACAGCACTTCATTCACCCACTCCGAAAAAATAAGCCTAGTCACCCATGCTTTTTTATTAGACTTCCACATCACAGACAAACGGGTTTTCTGCACATTATACTGTTTGAAAACCCTTGGATTTTCAGAATGATACACTAGCAAGGGTTTAATTTTTAAATCGCCACTCGCATTTGAACACAGCACAAGCGTAAACCTATCTTTCATAGGCTTGTGTCCAGGCAAGGATTTTTCCTCCTTGGTAATGTATGTCCTCTTAGGCATTCTTTTCCAAAACAGTCCTGTTTCGTCACAATTAAACACTTGTTGCGGTAGGTATCCCTCAGCCTCTGCAAACTCTTTAAATTCGTCAATAAATCGTCCAGCGGCTGGTTTGTCTGAGCTGGCTGCCTCCCCATGCCTTGTAACACTATGGATACCACTTCTCTTTCTAAATTTTTCAAACCAGCCCCTGCTTGCCTTAAACTCTTTCTTTTCTGCATCACTCGTTGCAGGGGTCTTCTTTAGAAGGTCTTCGTGCAACACCCTGGCTTTCTCAGAAATAATGGCCTCCGAAACACTATCACCCCTCAACTCCTTGTCGTGTATCCAAATTAATAACAACTTTTCCACTTCTTCAAGTATTTGTGGTCTTTGTGTCGTTAATGTTCTTACTCCTTTTGCCACATTAGCACTCATAATCTTATCTTTCTTCTTAAGTATAGTGCATATTGTTGATGTCGCTTTGTTGTACTGCCTACAAAGATCAACAACACGTGTACCGTTCTCATGCTTTCGAATGATCTCTTGTTTCTGCTCTATTGTCATCCTCACATGAGCTTTCTGGCCTTTATCCTTACCACTGGCTTTCTTGGGACTCATGGTGAGATATATAATAACAAATTGTATAGACAAATCACCAAAAATCCAACAAAACACTGAAAATTCACGACAAGAATTGATGTGGGGGTAGTCACTGCGCGCGAGACAATGGTGAACTGAGGGGCAGCGGGGCAGAGGGGCGACGATCGCCGAACGACCACGCGCTAGGTCGGCTGTACGCGTATCAACAAACTCGCGTTCAAACTCGACTCCCGAAGTAACCATCGCCTTCCGAGACAAATTTTTGGAGTAAATACACCTCGCCTTCCGAAAATCTCGCATACAGGGACAATCGCATTCCGAGGTACCACTGTATTATGTTTATTAAACACTGTATCTATATTGTTTCTATCCAGTACTCTAGTTACCTCAGCCATACTATTGTGGCATACTGTCTAAAATTGTCTCTATGATCTGGAAGCTTGGTCAGAGATCAGGCCTCGGGGACATTCATCTCCAAAATCCCATCAGGATAGGTAACCACAAGGTAAGGTATGACTCTTATCATTAAGTATCACTTTAAAAACTGTACATTATTTGCTAAATTTCTTTAACAAAGCACATATATACATCTGCTTACTCTTCATATAATATTAAATATTACCCCAATAAATTTCTAACTTAATCAGTCAATCAATCAATAACTTCAGTCACGTGGTACAGTGGTAAAGCATTCGCCTGGCGCTTCACAAGCACTTTGGCCTGAGTTGGTACCCTGGCCAGGGAGGATTGGACTGGGTGCCAACCCTTAATTATAGACTCTGTTCACCCCGCAGTGAATGGGTACCTGGTTGTTAAATCATTTGGTGGGTCGTTTTCCGGGGAAAATTAGGATTAAGGACCTGCCTGAAACACTATATACATGCTGGTGGTTGTACAAGAATGTAACAATTGTACAGTATATATAAATAAACAAACAACTTTATTCATAAATGTTTGTGTTGAACATTTATAGTTGGGTTAGTGAGATATTTACCTAAGAGAAACTCATAGTAGCAACATAACATGAAGTATCTGACAAACCATGCCTTTGTTCTGCAGGTGAGTTTATGCGGTCTGGCGTCTCCTTCATCCTGCCACTGGTTCGTTTTTTGGGGGTACAAATGGGAGTACGTATGTACTTGAGAACATGGAACTTACAAACAGGGGTGCCAGCAGCAGGCCTATTGGCCCATACGTGGCAGCTCTTGTTTCTAACCACCCGATTCGCACATCAGGACACAGGTGACTGCAGGAGACCTCTTGGCCGATACGAGGCAGCTCCTGACTATGCCCATCCAGTCCCTCTCCTATGCATGTCCACCCATGCTTGCGTTCGGGGCCCCACTTTCACTGTGTTCCGAGGTGCAAAGGTGGAGGTGCCCAATATGTGGTCCGTGTTCCTGTGTCGAGGGTGTTATGTGGTGACGTTTTTGCTGCGGTTTTGTTACTGCGGTTGCGTGTTGGGGTATGGTTGTGGCGTTTTGTTCAGCCCTTCCGTGCTTCTTCCTGAGCCTTCCTTGTATGGGTTCTTTCGTTCCCATGATTTTCTGGGTCCCTCATTCCTTGCCGGTCTTGCTGTGCCGGGCTTAGTTTTTCCATGCACGTTGGTTTCTCTGTACTCCCCTCGTGGTCCTCACATAGTTGTGCTTGCTGGGGATGAGCTTTGGCTCTAAGTCTCGCCTCTTGCCTGTCATTTGACTTCTGTACTGGTTCTTGTGCCTTCTGGGCTCTTATCTGCACTTGACGCTGGGTGTGGGGTTGACCTCCGCCACATTCCTTCCTCATGCATTCCTATTGTCTTCTATTCTGACACTGGTATGCTTCTTTTATCTTTTCTACGGCTCATTTGGGGGTTCAGTTAGACATGTTTCCCCCGTTACATGTGCCCCACGTGTTCCTTGGCTTGTGTTTCTCTACCCTGTTGCTTCCTCTGCGGATGTTGATAGTAGTGGTCATATCCCTTCGTTCCCGTTTGCTGCCTGCTTTCTTCGTTCCTCAGCTTCCTTTTGTCCTACACGTTATGTGTTTTGTTTGTGCCTTTTGGCCCTCCTGTTGCCAGGTTTGGGTTCCTGTTTTCCTGGCTTGCCCTGCCTGTTGGCATTTTCAGGGTCTCGCGGTGTTCCTTCTCTGGAGTCTCGCGTCGGGCCTGTAGCTTCCGATCTCCTGGCGGGCTTGCTCGCGTTGGGGAGTTTTTCTGTTTGGCAGACGTTCCATCTCCTTTCTTGCCGGCTTGGGTTCTGACTTTGCTCTCTTGGTGGTCACGCTCGAGATCTTCCGCAGCTCCGCCTCTTCCTAGGCTCGGTTGAACATTGCCGGGACCGGCTGGGTTCTGCCTCGGGTCTCTCACCCTCGGTTGGTGGTCAGGTGGCTTTGTGGTTGGTGTCCCACCTGCGTGCTTCTTCTTGGCGGTGGTATGGGGTATTTTGGTGGTCCTACCTTTTGTTTCTGTCCCTTCTTAGGTAGCTGCGTTGTTGGCGTCGGCTTGGCTTTTCTGGCGGGGGTTTCGAGGCCGTCATTTTGACGTGCACTGTCGCCTCATTTCGTGCGGCGCTGGCGGAGCCGCTCTGGCTTGCTTTCGGTCTTGGTGTTATATCTGCACCGTTCGTAAGCTGTTTCATGCGTTGTTTCACCTCCGGCCTATTCATGTGCTGCTTGAGCCATCCTGGTCTCTGGACAGCATGCTCTTTCTTCTCCTTGCTTGGTTGTGACCCCTTCGGTTCGGGTTTGTTTCTCGAAGGCTCTTTTCCTGTTGGCAATTGCCTCTTGAGGTTGGGTTGCTGGGCTTCTTGCTCTCCACCAGCACAGGGATTTCTCCTCCTTCCATCGTGGCAATTGGTTGTTCGGTTGCGGCCATATCCCTCTTTTCTGGCACAGGATGAGGCTGCTGCTTTCCGGAGGGGTCCTTGGTTTGTTGGTGCTTGGTTGGTCGGGCCGGGGGTGCCTCATGTTTCGTGTTCAGTTGCGGCCCCTCCGCTGTTCTTTGCGTGCCACGGCCTCTGTGTCCGGGACGCGCTTTGGGTTGATCCAGTTCTGTTCTTCCCTGTTCGCGGGTGAAGGTCTTCTGGGTCATCTGCCCTGTTATTGCGACTGGCCAGCCTGTGTTCCTTCCCCGTGCCCGTGGCGTTCATGGGTTCGCTGCTCTTGCTGCCGTCTTGGCGGCATGTCCTAGCTGACATTTGGGCACGGGGCTTTCGGCGGTCGTACAGGGGCCTGGCTGCTCATTGTCTCGTGTCGTTCCTGGGCCCGTTCGGGCTTGTGTCGCCTTGGGTTGGTGGTTGCAGCCAGTTGTCTTGACATTGAGTTGGGGAGTGTGTGGCGACTGCCTCCTGGGTGCATCCCTCTTTTTTCCTCTGTGGGTAGTTAGCTCAGAGGAGCCGATGAGGCTCCCCCCAGAAAACCAGCGTTGAATGTAATGAAACACCATTTTCTGGGTGAGACCTGGAGGCTCCCCAGCATCCCTCCCTCCCGCCGGTCGGTGTTTTTTTGCGTTTTTGACATCCAACCTCAGAACTGATAGTGGATAGCCGGCACGGTAGGTCTGGGGCTCCCCCTTCCCCCTCCCCCTCCCAGGGAGGGGGGAGCTTATAAATAAAATATTATTATCAATATAATAATATTAAGAAAATCCACAGGAGCCGTGATGAGGGTTCGAACCCGTGAGTGAGTGTTCCCACACACATACACTCTAGCGACTAAACCACGACAGGGTATAATAATATTATTATTATTAGTAGTAATGAGAAAAATATACATTGATTATTGTTGTATTGATATATGGTATTCCATTGTTCTTTTTTTTAATAAAGCTGCTAATCACTCCACATGTTTTTGGCAAATCTTACAACTAACAATTGGGCAAGTCTTAAAATTAATATACTGTACTTGTAGAAAACATTTAATAAACATAATTAAATTGGTAATAAAGAGCACTATAATGGTGAAGAAGTATTCCAGCCTCACGAACACGTCACCCCTGCCAGGAATGTGGGAGAATACAAGCACATCTCTTACCCAAGTGATGTCGGGGCCTCCACGATGCAACATGGGGTGAGGCTCAGGATCAATCAGACCAATCCTCTGCAAGCCCTTGACCACTTCAGAGAAGCCCCTGAAGCGTAGGGTGCCTCTTAGAACCGTCTTTGCCTCGGGGATACCATAAAGGCTTCTATAAACGGTCGAGTCACGGTTAGGGAAGCCCTCGAGTGCCAAGCCAGGAAGGAATGTGAAATCTTTGGTGGAATCCAAAAGTGTGCCGCCAGGGGGAATTTCAACAACCTGAAATGAGTTGCAAGAATTAGTAGCAGTTGATGATTGTCAGAAGTTTTGGAAAGCACAGATGATGATGATGAAAAGAAAGAATAATGAAGGGATGTTGGAAAGATGTACAAGGCACTAGGAGGCTGTGCAATCATCATCCTAGGAACAAGTGTTATTTTTGTTCTGTCTCTCTTGCACATCATTTCACCAAATTTTCACCGACATTCCCTATGACATTGTACTAACTGGAGAAACTTACTATAATGCCATAGTGCTTAAACGGAGGTGAAGGAAAGACCCAATATATGTACAGGTATAAATGGTATAAATGTAATCAAATGCAAATTCACTCATCTAAATTGGCGTCCATCAAGCGTTGGCATTAATGGACGCCAAATGAGGCACGCTGCCAGATTTACAAATGCTAATCCTAGAATCGAGTTCAGAACATTGTATATGATACCTTGAGAAAGAATGTAGGTCACATCCAAAAATTTGGTTTTTAATACATTAATACATTTTTATACATTTATTCAGGAGGGCAATGCCCTGCTCTTGCTGAGGATAGGATAAGATGCAGTTATGGCCTGTTTATAGAGGAGGGCAATGCCCTGCTCTTGCTAAGGATAGGATAAGATGCAGTTATGGCATGTCAACAATTACACACCAGAGCAGTGGGGAATCTTTTCTAACAATGCCAGTAACATCGTGAAGGAGGAAAGTAATCTACTATGCACAACTATGTCATATAGAGGGAATAACAATCACAGCAACACCACTTACCTGTCCCTCTTCAATATACTTGGCACCAGAAAGTGTGTTTATTAGAACGCCTCGAGGACTCCACGAGAACTTATAGCGTAATGGGTTGTCGGAGAACTCCGGAGCTGGGAGTCCTCCGCAGTATGACACAAACGAGTCGATCTTACCACCCCCTCGTTGAACCTGGAAATTAACAATAAACTAATTCAATAACCATTTTGGGGCAGTCACCTTTATCATGATAGTGGAATGAATGTGTGTTCTCACCTCCATATAAACCCAAACAAAATTTAATATATCGCTTTTCTAGAATGGGTCAAACAAGGGTTAAAAAATGCAAAAGATTGTAAGTGAATCTTACTGGAAAAATATTGTAAGTTGAGTACCAAAAGTTTCCATCATGGGGCCAACCCTTTATACATCAACAACATAGATGAAAAAATCACAAACCACATCATATTTCCAGATGACGCAAAGATGTATGCAAAAGTCCCCGCAGCTCAGTGGTAACTTGACACTGTTGTTCTTAGTGTTACATTGTGACTTGTTGAACTTGCAACTGTTGCTCCTTGTTTGTGTTACAACTAACCTTCTGAAGAAAGTATCCGGATCAACATCCTCTAACTTGTTCTATATTTTAAAAGTTTCAATGAGATCTGCCATGTCGTACCTGGTTTCCTTATCAACTAACAGTTGCAGCATTGTCAGCCCTGTAGCCTTCAAGTGTTCCCTGATACGAGAGTTGACTTAGCTCGTAAATGACTTTAGTTGCCCGGTGTTGCACCTTCTCCAGAGCAACTATGTCTTTCTGAAAATAAGGTCTCTATGCTTGGGTAGAGTATACCCCTATAAACCTTGACCTTAAGGACCTGGTCAATGGTACCTATGTAAACCTAACCTTTAGGACCTGGTCAAGCATACTAGTTACATTTACAAAAAAGAATCTTTTACCTCCTCAAAGCATTCCATAGCAAAGAGATGGTCAATGCCGGGATCGAGCCCAACCTCATTAACCATGGTGACGCCCGCATCAGCTGCAGCCTGGTGAAGTTCTTGCATTTCTGCAGTGCAGTACGAAGCAGTCACCAAGTTCGTCTGAAAAATGAGACAATGGTATCATATACCTGTACTAGGAGGCCTGGTCGAGGATCGGGCTGCGGGGACGCTAAGCCCCGAAACCATTTCAAGGTAACCTCAAGGTACTACAGTATATGGTGTCTTTAAATTCTAACGGAAGAAATTGTTACAGTAATTGCATTCCATGGGACTTCCAGGCTGAACCACACAGAGAGGGAATGTATAATAATAATAATAATAATAATAATGATAATAATGATAATAATAATAATAATAATAATAATAATAATAATAATAATAATACACAGAGTAATCACATTGACTGCATCAATGAGAAAATCAGTAGGAGCAGTACTGAGGGTTGGAAGCTGTGTGGCGGGTGTTCCCCCGCACACGTTTTTTTTGTGCCTGGGAACACCCGCCATAGAGGTTCCAACCCTAATCACTGCTCCCACAGATTTTCTCAATAATAATAATAAAAATAATAATGTTTATTTAGGCAAGAGTACATACATAAAAACCACAAATATTCAGAGCATCTTGGGCTTAACTTAAATATAAAGAAAACCATATGCAGAGGTACCTCGGTTTAAGAGTTTAATCCTAGCCAGGAGACAGCTCGTATTCCGAAAACTCGTAAACCGAAGCTAATTTCCCCATAAGAAATAATGGGAAATGAAGTAATCCGTTCCTGACTACCAAAAACCTCACTTCAAACTCAATTTTATACCTAATTCACCTAAATAAACCTACAAAACTATGTTTAAGTTATTATTTACCCTTGTTGATGACTGCTGTTGGCGTATGGAAGATGGTGAGGAGGGGGGAGGAGGAGAGGTGTTACTGTTGGGAAGGGGAGTCCCCTTCCATTATCACATCAGGCAGCGAGGACCTCTCTGGGGTGCACTCCCTGGCACGTTTTGCCTGCATACCACTAGGTCCTGGTTGTGGCTCACTGCTCGATGTTCTCACAACAAATCTGTCCATGAAAGATTGTTTTTTCCCTTCTTTGCAAGATGTCTCTGTAGTGAGGCATCACATTCTTTTTCTAAATTTTTCTAAATTTGTCAAACCCTTCCCTGCTTGCTTGAAAGTCTATCGTATCTGCACTCGTTCCAGGGGTTTTCTTTACAAGGTCTTCATACAATACCCTGGCTTTCTCACAAATGATGGCCTCTGAAACACTATCACCCGCTAACATCTTGTTGTGTATACAAATTAATAACAACTTTTCCACTTCCTCATGTATTTGTGGTCTTTGTTTTGAGATTGTTGATATGCCTTTTGCCACTTTAGCACTCATAATGTCCTTTTTCTTGCTAAGTATAGTGCATATTGTTGACGTGGCTTTCTTGTACTGCCTACAAAGTTCAACAACACGTGTACCATTTTCATGCTTCCGAATGATCTCTTGTTTTTCCTCTATTGTCATCCTCATATGGGCTTTCTTGCCTTGATCCTTACCACTGGCTTTCTTGGGACCCATGCTGAGATATATAATAACTTTTATGGTCAAATGGCCAAAAATCCAACAAAACACTGAAAATCCTGGTGAAGAATTCAGGCGGGATAGTCACTGGGCACGAGGCACTGGTAAACTGAGCGGCAATTGCTGTGCCACCACGCACTAGGTCGGCCTGTATGCGTATCAACACCCTCGCCTTCCGAGGCAAATTTTTCAAGCAAATCCTGCTCGTATTCCAAAAAATTCGTATACAGGGACACTCGTATTCCGAGGTACCACTGTATAAGCTTAATGGGGTAATTCCTAAAACGGCAATAGATTGATGGAGAAATTCAGAATTGGAAAATAATCAATATATATATACAGTATGTCAAAAATGTGAGGCTAAAGGCAAGATGGCAAGAAGGAAACCACAAGTTATTACACAACTTCACAAGTACAGTGTGGAGGATAAGGCAGACATATAAGACAGTGCAATATAAACATTATATGTGGATGGTATAAGACATATTAAATGTTTCTTAACAGTGTTTAAGAACATATTGGGGTAACTGCCATTGTCGGGGGAACAGGAAGGCCTGTAATTAGGCTCATCGAGACCTCCCCCAAGGTCAACTACTGACCTCCATCACAATGAAACCTAAAACAGTTGCCTAACTCCTGGCTACTTATTTACTTAAAGAAAACATGGCCAAACATCTTAGTCTGGGCCCAGAGAAGGAACCGACAACCTTAATTATTAGTCAAGGTCACAGATCACTGTACTGCACGACCCACAATTGTTAATGTCCTCAGAGTACCATATGCTCCGCCTCTTGACTTACAAGCCATTTTCACTTGGTCACGTTTACCTTCACCAATGCTCAAAATATGCAGTATTTTCTCTGGTGTAATGTCTGTGGGCTCTCTCACAACCCCTCTATGTCTGTGGGCTCTATGTCTGTGGGCTCTCTCATAACCCCCTCTATGTCTGTGGGCTCTCTCACAACCCCCTCTATGTCTGTGGGCTCTCTCACAACCCCCTCTATGTCTGTGGGCTCTCTCATAACCCCCTCTATGAAAGGTTTTAATTAAGTCTGTTAACACTGCAATTCAATATAAAGTGTTATAAATAGAGAAACACAGGAGAATGTATGCAAGGTATGAATGTTCAGCATGTTGACAAGTTGGAACAATGAAGGTGTACAACATCTCAGTAGAGAGTTTGTAAAAGTTCTAGCAACTGACATTTTACTTGGAAACGATGGATTTGAGGTAGAATTATGAGGGTCAAGAGTCAATTCAACAGTTGTTGCTTCACTGACTGGCCCAAACTGTTGACATATACAACACTGTCATTGCTTACACAAATAATACCTTACATCATAATCAACTCATACGCACCTTTTGTTGGATGCAGTGCTTGGCAATCACATGATGGAGCATATATGGAAGCAGTGACACCACAACATCTGCACCTCTCACCAGGTCTTCCAGGAGGTCCGGACGCTCCACAACATCCAGCAGTACTGACTCAACGTTCGGGTGTTTAGACGCAAGAGCATCTGCTTCGTCCTGTAGATCTGAAGCTGTGTATGTAGAGAACATTTTGATTTTAAAATCCACCAATTGAAGTTGTACACCTGTGTTTACCTACTTATAGTACTACAAACTATACCTCCAACACCTGTGTTTACCTACTTATAGTACTACAAACTATACCTCCAACACCTGTGTTTACCTACTTATAGTACTACAAACTATACCTCCAACACCTGTGTTTACCTACTTATTAATTATTATTATTATTCTTATAGCACTATGAAGTATACCTCCAACACATGTTTACAGACATATATAAAAACCTAAAACATATAACTGGATATAGCACACAGTTTGCCAATAAATATATACATGGCAATCACTCATTTGGTGGTGTTAAAAGCTCAATGGCTGCTAGTATGGCCACCTTGTACGTCCCACACTCTGGATGGTGCTGTACCACACATGCCGCCCATCTTCCTACTAAAGCCCAGAAGGAAAGTAAATAGAATTACTCATTATTGCTATCTAAGATAATTAGACGAGCCAAAACTAAATACTACGAAGATAAATTTACTCAAATAAAGAGCAACATTAAACAAACTTGGAGCACAATTTCACAAATATTGGGATCAAAGAAATCTTTAAATAACAAACCGACTCTCCTGTCTAATAACGATGGTCAGCTTTCAGCCTCTGATTCTGCTATTGAGTTCAATAGGTTCTTCTCTTCCATTGGTTCATCCCTTGCAAATGATATTCCATCTTCCAGTACTGACATTAAGGACTATCTTACAGGTAACTATCCACAGTCTCTGTACCTAAAGCCTATTAACTCCACTGACGTCAATGAGATAATCCTTTCCCTTAAAACCAAGTCTGGTGCCCTTGAGGAGATACCAACTTTAATTTACAAAAAAGCCTCTAGATCTTTAGCCCCTGCTATTGCTTTGCTCTTCAACAAGTCACTTGAACTCCAAACCTTTCCAGATATTCTAAAAAAAGCGAGAGTAACGCCTGTCCACAAATGTGGTGACCCCACAGATGTTAACAACTACAGACCTATATCAATCCTGCCAAACTTGTCAAAAATTTTTGAAAAACTTATATACAAGCAGCTTTACTCATATCTAGCCAAACTCAATATACTTAGCCCTTGCCAATATGGCTTCAGACCCAAAAAAAGCACTAACGATGCACTTATTAGTATGCTTAACTCGATTCATACAGCTCTTGATAAAAAGGAGTTCCCTGTTGGGTTATTTGTGGACCTGCGTAAAGCTTTTGATACTGTCAACCACCATAACCTTCTTCTAAAATTACATCATTATGGAGTCAGAGGACACTCCCTACAATACCTCGAGTCCTACCTTACTGACAGGCTCCAATATGTTTCTGTGAATAATACAATTTCTCCCACCCTACCCATCAACATTGGTGTTCCTCAGGGCAGCATACTTGGCCCTCTCCTCTTTCTCATCTACATTAATGACCTTCCAAATGCCTCCCAACACCTCAAACCAATTCTATTTGCTGACGACACAACCTTCATTTACTCCAGTCCTGACCCTCTTGCTCTAAATGCCACAGTAAATACTGAGCTAAATAAAGTCCATCTTTGGCTAACTGCCAACAAACTCACCCTTAACATTGACAAAACCTTCTATATTCTGTTTGGCAATAAATCCTCTAGTCTTATAAATCTCAAAATAAACAATACCCAAATTTGTAACAAATTAGATGGCAAATTCCTTGGCATTCTCATTGACCACAAGCTGAATTTCCAGGGACACATTCTAAATATATCAAAAAAAGTTGCAAAAACTGTGGGCATTCTTTCTAAGATCAGATATTATGTACCATGCCCTGCCCTGGTGACTCTCTATTACTCCCTTATCTATCCTTATCTCAACTATGGTATTTGTGCTTGGGGTTCTACTACCCAAAATCACTTACGTCCTCTAATTACCCAACACAAAGCCGCTATTAGAATAATATCCAACTCTGGCCCCAGACATCACTCGATACCCCTACTCAAATCTCTTAATATGTTAGATATTAAGTCACTGCACATTCTCTCATGTGTATTATACATATATGAAACGCTAAACTATAATGCCAATCCTGATCTTAAAAGCTTCATAGAAGGTTGTAACAGAACCCATGAGCACCACACCAGAAATAAATACAGTTTTGATATTCCTAGAGTACGTCTTAATCAAACTAGAAATGCTCTGCAAATCAAGGGGCCCAGAATGTGGAATGACCTTCCCAACCATGTTAAAGACTGTACCTCTCTCAACCAGTTTAAGATAAAAACTAAACACTACCTTATAAATTCCCTGTAATCTACCTCACTCCTCTATTGTCAACCCATATCTGTTATTTTCTTTTTTTTTTAATCAACACTGTTTGTCAACCTATTGTATTTGTGCTGCTTTTTCAGTCATTTTCCCCTTTTTTTTTTTATCTTTATTTGTATTTGTTCTCAACACCTTTTATTCTTTATGCTCAATTAGTATTAAGTTCTAGATATTAATGTTTTTCTTGCCCGAAACGCATTGCGTAATAGTGGCTTTAGGCATTGTATGTACTAGCTCTATCTATTTATCAATCCATTAATGTAACATCACTTGTATGTATATACCTTACCTGAATAAACATCTGAATCTGAATCTGAATCTGAATCTGAATCTGACTCAGGATTTTGTTTCCAGATGGGTGATGGTTAATGGAGGCCTGAGAAAGCAAGTGAGAGCTTGTGTGTACATGGCAGTTTTACCTTTTATGATGGCCTAAATATAACCCTGGTTGTGGTGTGCACCATCAACGAAACAACCTTGGTTGTGGTGCATATTGCAGGGGTTAAATACCAAATACACTTTAAAATATAATATGAAAAACCCTTATGAATAATGGGAGTGGGGACCTTTCGCAAGTCATCGGCTTCCTGTCCCCGACGAGACCATTCGGGGACAGAGATAGCAGCCTTCCAGCAAGTTCATGTAAAAAACCAGCATTGAATGTAATGAAATGCCATTTTCTGGGCGAGTCCCGGAGGTTCCCCCGGAGCTATCCAGGCTGAATGGATATGTATGCCTTTCTGGCATCAGTCAAAGCATGGAGTTCTTGCCTACTGGGGACCACAAGCCAGAACCTGGCCCCCGCTAGAGAGGCATGAGGAGCAATGGCCTATAGAGACCCCTTGAGGTTGGGAGCATTCTGTGTCTGCCATCGACCGGGACAGGCACCCAGAAAGGTAGGCCCCCCAAAACAAACCCCAATTCTGGTAAAACTATTGCGACTGAAAACCGAACAGGTGGACATAACTCCCCAAATGAAAAATAGCAAACTAGCATGACGTCATTGTGTCTCCGCGACGCTGTCTGCACAACCCCCAACTTAATAACCCTGCGGACAACCTGAGAGACCCAAGCCCGGGAACAGGGAAGAAGGGAAACCGGGTCAACCCAAAGCGCATCCAATGCCACCGAAGCCATAGTGCACAAATAACGGCGAAGAGCCGCAACCGGACACAACACGTGATGCACCCCCGACCTGACCAACCAAGCATCAACAACCCAAGGCCCCCTCCGAAATGCAGCCTTCTCATTCTTCGCCAGAAAAGAAAGAAATGGCTGCAACCGAACAAAACGACCATCAGGACCAAAGGAGCAGAAACCCCCGTGACGGAGGAGAGCATGAAGCTCCCTGACCTGACCTCCAGAGGCCAATGCCAACAGGAACAGAGCTTTAGAAAAACAATCCTGAATGGAAGGAGCACAATAAACCGAGGAGAAGAGAGAAACGAGAGCACCCGGTTCAAAGACCAGGACGGCTCAGGAGGCACATGAGCAGGCTGGAGGTGAAACAACGGCCAAGAAAGCTGGCGGAACGGGGCAGAGGCAACATCAACACTGAAAGCAAGCTGAGGCAGCTCCGCCAGCACCACACGATATGATGCGACAGTATTGGGCATAAGATGACGGTCCTGGAACATCCAAGAGAGAAAGGACAGAACAACCCTATCAGAGACTGAAGAATACCTATGAAGTGATAGGAAGAACTGGGAAGACAGCCAGGAAACTTTATACTGTCACTGAGACGAAGCACGCAGGTGGGAGACCAACTACGAAGCCACCTACCCACAACACAAGTGATGATAAACCTGAGTCAAAAACACCAGATGCAAAGACTCAAGGAGAAGACCGAACCAGCCTTATACCGGCCTGGACCGATCCACTGAAAGAGGCGGAGCCGTAGGAAGACCCTCGGATTCGGACACTGAGCAAGCAGTGCCTGAAACCAAGGCTGGGCCGGCCACCAAGGAGCCAGAAGGACAACTCTTCCCTGGTAAGTCTACAAGTGAGCCAGGACCTGGATCAAAAGCTGAACCGGGGGAAAGAGGTACAGATAGCCCCACCTCGCCCAGTCCTGCCTGAAGGCATCGACCCCGACGGCCTCACAGTTGGGAAAATGTGCCAGGTATACCAGGAGACGCCTCGACCACGCCGACAAGATGAGATCCATGTCCGGAGTCCTGAACGTCTGGCACAGCCAACCGAAGGAGTCGACGTCGACCGTCCATTCCGTGGAAAGGAGAAGGAAACGAGACAGGCCATCAACCAGGACGTTGGACACCCCAGGACGTAAACCGCCAGGAGAGCCAAACCCTGAGAACTCAGCAGACGAGTCACCCGAAGCGACCAGCGCCGAAGAGCCAAGGACCGCATCTAACCCCCTCGGTTCAGACAATGAACCACCGGGGAGCAGTCCAAATGGAGCCGGATCGTTGATCCGCGAGCAACTCGGAGACTCCAGAGTGACATCTGCACCGCCGCGAACTCCTGGACCGTGCTGTGAGCCCGACGGAAGGACGGACCCCACCACCCCTGGCCAGCCTGGTGAGCACTGGTCACAAAGCCCCAGCCAAGAGATGACGCATCCGTGTACACATCAAGCGAGGGCTCGGGCAGGCGCCAAGGCACTGAACCCCGAAAAACCTGAAGAGGAAGCCGGTGATGCAGCAACCAACGCAAAGCCCCCGGAGGCCGAACCCAACGATTGCGAGAGAGAGGTGGAAGGGCCATCCCTGAAGGAACCAGAACAGCCGACGAAGCCACACCCGACCTGGCGGGTAGACCATCATGGCAAAGTTCAGGCTTCCGCATAAACTCTTGATCAACCGCCTCGTGACCCGGGAGCCCCTCAGGAACAGACGAAGGTGGGAACGCAGATGGAGCAGAGCCGCCGGAGGCAGAGACAAGGAAGCGGTGCAAGCATCCAAAACCAGACCCAGCCAAGACCGAACCTGAGAGGGAACTAGATGGGACTTCCTCCAGTTTACCAAGAACCTGAACTCGGCGAGCTGGAAAAGAACCAAATCCCTGGTGAGCAGACACGAGGACTGGCTGGGAGCCCAAACCAGCCAGTCGTCGAGGTAGGCCAGAACCCGAACACCTAACAAACAAAGACGGGCCACCATGACCTGATTAAGGGGTGTGAAAACAAGAGTCACCAGATTCAACCCAAAGGGAAGACAATGAAAGCGGAAACCATGACACCCCACAACAAAACCTAGCCAGTTCCTGAGCCTCAGATAAACTGGGACGTGCCAATACACGTCCTTGAGGTCCAGGGACACCATCCAAGCACCATGCTCCAACAGAAGATGGACCTGGGACAGAGTAGTCATCCTGAAGGAGGGGCAATAAACCCACGGGTTCAGACGGAACAAGTCCAGAATGAACCGGAGGTCCGCACAGTCCCGTTTTGGAACAGGAAACAGGCAGGAAACCCACCTAAGGGACAAGGTCGTTTCAACCATGCCCAAGCGAACCCACTCCAAGATGATCTGACAGAGCGCAGGAGAAGAGGCCTGCCTCGACAGCTGCAAATCCCCTGAAGGAGGAGGGGCCACCCAATGCCACCACAGGCCGCACAAAACGACCCGAAAAGCCCACGAATCGTGGGACCAGGCGCGAGCAAACAGGGCAAGCCTCCCCCCCCCCCCACCGCTCCGTCAATGGGACGAACCGCAAAAGGACCGACGCACCTTACAAGAACCTGAGTGGTGGACAGGGTGATTCCCGCACCGACCAGAAACAGACGGAACCAAAGGCTACGCCTGCCCTGAATCTGGCACCACTGGCCTACCACAACGAACGAAACCTTGAGCCCTGGCACGACCCTTCCAGGAAGGCACCCCACAAGCCCCCCAGGAGCACCAACAAGTCAGACATAGGTCGACAACTAACTGAAGCCGCCTGCAGGTACTGCACCAATGCAGACTCCGCCGACAACAAAGGGCAAAAAGGCGAAGACAACCAAAGAACCAGGGCCCAAGTGGATTCCAAGGAAGAAGTAAGCGACGCCTACCGACACGTGAAGTGAGAAGCATAGAACCGCAAAACTGTATCACGCAGGAGTGGCGCGAAGAGCTTCAACAAAGCAGACGATGCCTGCACAGCAGAGGGGATCGTCCCAGACTCAGCAGCGGCCCCAAGCTCCCTCACATCCAACTCAAGCCAATCTGAGGACAGCTCAAGAAGGGAAAAGAACCGTAGGGCCGAAGCAAGCAGACCACGAATACGCAAATCCTCCGCAACCAAGGCAACTGAAAGGGAAGGAAGCTGCACATGAAGCTGCACAACACCAACATCCCGCGGAAGGGCAGGGGCGAACAAACAAGTATTGAGGTGCTCGAAGTCGCCCCCCAGGAAAACCTGAAACACTGCCCGAGTCTCCTGCCAGCCAAGCGTGCGGGACTGACAGAATGTGTGCCAATCCTCCAACTAAAAAAGAGGAGACAGTCTTCCAACCAGGACGACTCCGGAACCTCATAACGAACCCAATAAGGATTGGACGAACCGTACATGAAGGAACACGGATCCATTACAGAAGCATAATCTGAGTCACACAGGAGGTAATCGCAATGGCTTCCCGCACCACAGAAGATAAAATATGGGAAGCCGAAAACCTCTGGAAAGACAGAACTGAGCAACCCATGGGATCATGGAACCGAACCCGGGGAGAGGTAGACACCAAATCCAATTCATACGCGGAGGGAGCGAAAGAGAACCCCTCTACTTGTAACACTAAAGCCCCACTCCGAGGGCAGAAAAACCCAGGTGGTGTCCAACTACCCCTCCCCAGCCCCGGGAACCTCCCCCTTGAGGACCTGGGGCCGAGCCGACCTCCAAACCCCATTAACCGATTCTAAAGAAAAAGCGAAAGCCGCCGAAAAAGCAGGAATGAAGGGGGGCCCACTGGCTAGACCCAGAAGCTCCGGCAGAAAGACCAGGCTCAAATGCCTCCGCCGCAACCCCAGAAGGGGACACCCCCGAGACCGCCCAAGTCTCAACACCAAAAAGACCTTGCCCCAACTCCGAAATCCTCAGATGCTTCGGAGCTGGAAGCAAGGGAGGGGGGACCGAATGAACGACAGAAGGGAAAGGACTAGGAGGGGCGGACAGAACCAGAGCCGAAGCGACTCCCACCCCCCAAGTCCAGGTCCCTATAAGCAAAACAAGGCAATCTCGAGGCATCCAAGGTCGCAACCAACCTAGCACGTTGTAGCAACCTAAATCTAGCATGCAACTCCATAGCTGCCTGCACCCACATATAATTATTAGTGGCTTGGGTGAACTGGAGAATGTACAGACAACACACGTCGCACGACTCTGGGTCAAAACAATCATCGACCCAACAGGCAGCATAGTGGAGCCAAAATCAGTGAGCATCACCCTGAGACAAGGGGGCAGAGAAACCTTCAAACTCGCAAGACGTGAAGGGGGACTCAGGGGTCACATCCATCCAACCATGTAGCCCCCATGGGGTTTCCCAGGGCCATTAGCCTTGGTTACACGCTAAGGGAAGCCCGGGCAGGGTACTGCGAACCGGCGCCCAAGTCTACCAAAGAAACTTTTAAAGCTGAACCCCCGGGACATGTCCACTCATGGGGGGCCCAAGCGGGGAGGACCACCAACACAGAATATAGATATAGAAATATATATAACCCAAGAACAGCGACAGGGGACCACAAAGGCAGACCCCCCTACTAGGCAGAAAAACACAAGAAAAGAATACCCCCGCAAGAAGACAATGTACCCAGGCGGAACAGAGCCGGCTGCTGTTATTGGTGAAAACTAGCTGTGCAATACCCTGCGCCCCTGCCAGTGATGAGAACTACCCCCTACTCAGAGACAAACAAGGGTAAGAAAAACTCCAGCTGACCCCAAGGATAGGCCAAATACTGAGCAGTAAACAGCACAGCGGAGGTAGATCCTGAAGTGACTTGTGGAAGGCGGCCCCAAGCCCCAAGGGCAGTACTTCTATGGCACCTAGGGAAGGTGACGCTAGGCACATGCAGCCCGAGTACCGTGGGCTGCAATGTACTTGGGCTGCAGAAGAGACAGCCCACACCACAAGTGACAGAACAGAAACAAAACTGGAGCCAGGGGCATAACCGCACCAGAATTCCACCAGCCAAGAACTGTAGGTTGGATCGCCGGCGGATGGGTCTGGGGCTTCTCCTTCCCCCTCCTGGGGGAGGAGGGGGTTGCACAGACAGTGGTGCAGTGACGTGATGACATTATGCTAGTTTGCTATTTCGTTTGGGGAGTTCTGTCCACCTGTTTGGCCTTTGGTCACATTAATTTTATCAGAATAGGGGTTTGTTTTGGGGCGCCTACCTTTCTGGGTGCATGTCCCGGTTGATGGCAGACACAGAATGCTCCCAACCACAGGGGTGTCTCTATAGGCCATTGGTTCTTGTGCCTCTCTAGAGGGGGCCAGGTTCTGGCTCGTGGTTCCCAGTAGGCAAGAACTCCATGCACTGACTGATGCCAGAAAGATGTACATATCCATTCAGCCTGGATAGCTCCAGGGAGGCAACAGGGCTCCCCCCAGGAAATAGCATGTACATGTGGCTACATACCCACGATGATGCCAGTGTTGGAGTTGCGTGAGAGGTACTCAACCAGCGGAGCAGACACATACCCGGCACCAAGCACCAACACCTTGTGCTCCTTGCTGGCCATGTCAACAGCAGACTTGCTCGTCGCTCTGCAGTGGGAGATGGGAAAAGGCTGTGCAGAGTGTTCATATGACAAGTCATTGAACTACAGGTTACATTATGCAGAAATACAGAAAAATTCACAAATTACACATGGATAAATGCACCATTGCATTTGGAACTGGATAGAATCATCTGCATGGGCAGATGTGATCTGTGATGAATCAAAATGCTTGCATATTTTCTCCGTGTATACTTGTGAGTTCCACTGCTTGTATGTGCACCACTACTTATCTATTTAAGGAATTTATGGAATATGTTTAAGCTGCATATACACACATACAGTGTGTGTATACTGTGTGTATACAGTGTGTGTGTATATATACAGTGTACACACACTGATATTGATGATAAAGTTACACATCGTGATGTTTCACTGGGCTATACAAATACAGTATATGTAACATTACAGTACAGTAACGACATTCCCAACAAATATGAAATCTTGTACATGACCTGTTGGGCCAACAATTATCTCTTGCCCAAGGGATGGCACCCTTTGCCCATATGACTGTATTTCCCATTCATGCAAGAGGGGGTCTGGTTGATGTTGGTGGGACCAATTAGTCCATCAGCCAAGGTCTACACATCAGATGTTTTTAGATTTACAGAGTCCCCACACGAACGAACTACATAGACCGAGGCCAACTCGTTCCATAAGAGATTTCGTTCGATCGCAGGCAACCTCTCCCCCAGGAAAACAAGTCTATGGGCCTACACAATGCATATAAAGGTTTGTGACTTACCTTACCAGGAGAGTAGTGGAGTGAAATATCTTCATAAACAACCTGGAAGCACATTTAAGTACAAATCCATCATAACCCATCTGTCTTCATGTCTATACTGTATTAAACAAATTATACTGTATCACTTGCAAGTTTACAGTTGTGAGAGATGGATCTCTAGCTATCTTAACTGTGTGTAAGATGAGTGCACATAACACTTGGAGACTGTCACCAGTGCACAGAGTGAGTGCACTAAGTTAAGTTTTGTCAATACAAAACTTAGACATGCCTTATTGGATATCCGTTGACAGCTCTGGTTAACAGGATCCCATTGGTACCATCGTGGGTAGCTCCATTCAGCAATTACAGCAAGGTGCAATAGATAGAACAGCTAGTTAACTCTAGGGATGTTAAATCCCAAATCAGAGTTGGTGGTTGTTTACTGTCTTGCAGTCGAGAGGGGCAAGACCAGCCCAACTGCAGCGTAAACATCTAGGCCCGTCCCGTGACGTCAAAACATAGTGCCATCCGGAGAGACGGCTCTGATTGGAGTAGGCCGCAGTGCCTTGAGGCTGAGTGGCCCTTTTTAAGAACAAGGAGGTAGCGAGTGATACTACCTGGAGCAGGCTGCCCCATGCCTCTCTCTCTCTCTTTCTCTTCATCCTGTACCCCGTCGCTTGCTCATGAAGACCTGATTTTCTATGCTGCGGCCACAGCTAAAGAAAATTCCCCTAATGCAACATTAGTCTTAAATTAATATTGTTATCCACTGAAGTCACCTAGCGTACATTGCCACAGAGATGGCGATGGAGATTTGCCATCGGTAGGTGATTCCTTTGATATTCAAATGATAAAACAAGAGAGAGAAAATAGAATGTACACACCACGTGTTCACCAACAAATGCCACGAGACTGCCAAAGTGTTCATCAGTGAATATCGATAACATCCGTTAGCCTATTGCTACGATAGTTATCTAGAAGGGATAAGCAAGTATTCCACAGTGTGCTGTTAATTTCTCTGCGTGAGATACAGTAACTGTATTTATCTCACCATTATTTATAATGGTGTATGATGCACCTGGCTTTCCATGGTTCGAATCCCTCACAGGAGAAAGTTTCTTGAGTTAATATATAAATAAATAAATATAATATAATATAATATAATATAATATAATATAATATATATATATATATATATATATATATATATATATATATATATATATATATATATATATAAAGAGAATCTTAAATACTGTCAGCATGTTCCACATTGTATAAAGTGTACAACATGCTGCACATTATACAAAACAAAAAATCCTTCACAAAATGCATCACATGCAAAATAGACTACTACAAGCAACAGCCATCAGGAGATGCAAACTACAGTAAATTATAAGGTTAATGCACTACATTAGAGAAGAAAGCCAAGAGCTATAGATGAAAAAACTAGCATTAAGCAACATCAGTAGCCAGACTTAACAGCTTAGAAAGGGAGAGCAAATGTACTGGTCTCGACAACCTAGCTCACGACCGACCAAGCCAGCGGCAGTTCTCTTAAACCCATTTTCCCTAGTTACATACACGTCTTATAGCCATCATTCACAAGTAGGCTCTTAATGTGAAAGATGTGAAACTAGCCACGTGTGCCTTAACCATGGTTTAAGACACGTGTCTGGAGGAGACTCGGGATGCTGGTACAATCTCGCCATCTTGCGCCAAAGATTTTCTTATAGACGTATCACACTATTGTGATTTCATTGTGCATAATAAATTAGTACGTGTAGAAGAGTGATAATTAGTACTTGCAGAAAGATGATAATTAGTGATTGTAGGAATGTGACAACTAGTGCTAGTAGAAGACAGTATCGTAACTTATGCAAATACATTATGATCATGGAACTGTGTTTGTGCCCAAATAAAGTGCTGGTATCCAAATAAATGAGTTTGGAGGAAAATATTGTGCACACAGAAGATACAAAGAGCACAGAATCCCAAGTAGCATGTACACATGACAGACAATTCCAGTACATCTAACTAAGAGCCAGCTCATCGTCCAAACATTGCCTTCCCTTTCCATGCCTCTGCTAAGAATACTTGTGTTAAGTGCAGGTCCCTAACAGCCATGGGAGCTCTCTTGGCTGCGCACATTTACCTTCTGGAAAAGACACAAGAGAAAGCACTTTCAGTCCATGCAGGTAAGAGAGAGTGTAAAGTACATGTAAATCACAGTGGCTTACCGAGAACACGGCTGTGGATAAAAGATAATGGAGCATTTCAAAACACGCATATTTTATTTATTTATTTGTTTATTTATACCCTATATTTATACAAGAGTTGTTACATTCTTGTACAGCCACTATAGCACGCATAGCATTTCGGGCAAGTCCTTAATCCTAATTTTCACACACACACACACACACACATACACACACATCCCCAGGATGTGTAGGGATACAGAGAGAATGGAAAACACTCAAGGATTAAGAGGTAGGTAAGGTAAGGTAGGGCTCATTGTGTCAGCTAAAGTCACATTGCTAATAACTTTTGGGGTTCCATAACTACAAGTCAACTAATTTTGTATACTGTATTTATATATACAAGAGTTGTTACATTCTTGTACAGCCACTAGCACACATAGCATTTTGGGCAAGTCCTTAACTATAGTGTTTAGGTTAGTTGTGCTTACATGTCACTACCACTACCTTAAGATACAATACACTACATTCAATTCATACTAACTAATTAGAATGTTTGCCAAGATAATGTACTTGCTAAGAAATGCTATGCCTTCATTAGCCAATGAGAAGTTGACAGCTTTTGATAAGCCAATGAGAGAGAGAGATAACTTTTGATGAGCCAATGAGAGAGAAAGATAACTTTTGATCAGCCAATGAGAGAGAAAGATAACTTTTGATCAGCCAATGAGAGAGATAACTTTTGATGAGCCAATGAGAGAGAGAGATAACTTTTGATCAGCCAATGAGAGAGAGAGATAACTCTTGATCAGCCAATGAGAGAGATAACTTTTGATGAGCCAATGAGAGAGAGAGAGATAGCATTTTGCTCATCCCATAGAGAGGGAATGAGAGCAATGTATTCACCTAGTTCACATGTGATATTTTAACAATGCACAAAATAACAAAGAATAATAATATACAAACAATGTATCTCTTGTACTTGCCTTCACTTGTAGAGCACACCTGGAAGACCTCCCAAAAGACTTATACTAATGTATATACTGACATATAAGGCCTTATACTGACATATAAGGCCTTATACTGACATATAAGGCCTTATACTGACATATAAGGCCTTATACTGACATATAAGGCCTTATACTGACATATAAGGCCTTATACTGACATATAAGTACTTATACTGACATATAAGGCCTTATACTGACATATAAGGCCTTATACTGACATATAAGTACTTATACTGACATATAAGTACTTATACTGACATATAAGTACTTATACTGACATATAAGTACTTATACTGACATAAGTACTTATACTGACATATACTTATACACTTATAATGACATACAAGGTACCGGCATGTTTGACAGTGTTACCGGCATGTTTGACAGTGTTACCGCCATGTTTGACAGTGTTACTGGCATGTTTGACAGTGTTACTGGCATGTTTGACAGTGTTACCGGCATGTTTGACAGTGTTACCGGCATGTTTGACAGTGTTACCGGCATGTTTGACAGTGTTACCGGCATGTTTGACAGTGTTACCGCCATGTTTGACAGTGTTACCGGCATGTTTGACAGTGTTACTGGCATGTTTGACAGTGTTACCAGCATGTTTGACAGTGTTACCAGCATGTTTGACAGTGTTACCAGCATGTTTGACAGTGTTACCGCCATGTTTGACAGTGCTACTGGCATGTTTGACAGTGTTACTGGCATGTTTGACAGTGCTACCGGCATGTTTGACAGTGCTACCGGCATGTTTGACAGTGCTACCGGCATGTTTGACAGTGCTACTCGCATGTTTGACAGTGCTACTGGCATGTTTGACAGTGCTACTCGCATGTTTGAATGATACTGGCACCTCAGACAGACAGAGCAATCAATATACACTTGGGAATTATCAAGTATCATAATACAATATTCGATGTTAGTTGGGCTACAGCCAAAACGTCCCGCATTCAATTCTCGCTGCGGAACTCAAATGCTCGGGTAACCCTCTCATCTGACGCCTCAGTTCTCGTTGCGGAACTCAAATGCTTGGGTAACCTTCTCATCTGATGCCTCAGTTCTCGCTGCGGAACTCAAATGCTCGGGTAACCCTCTCATCTGATGCCTCAGTTCTCGCTGCGGAACTCAAATGCTCGGGTAACCCTCTCATCTGATGCCTCAGTTCTCGCTGCGGAACTCAAATGCTCGGGTAACCCTCTCATCTGATGCCTCAGTTCTCACTGCAGAACTCAAATGCTCGGGTAACCCTTTCATCTGATGCCTCAGTTCTCGCTGCGGAACTCAAATGCTCGGGTAACCCTCTCATCTGATGCCTCAGTTCTCGCTGCGGAACTCAAATGCTCGGGTAACCCTCTCATCTGCTCCCTAAGGTAAGATCAGCCACATCAGGATCATACTGCGTGTGTAGAATGTCAGCTTCACGCACACTCAAGCAGGAGTCCTTTATACCTTTAAATGGCAGATACTTTCCTGGAAAAGTGTTACATTGAAGCTTGTCGTATAAAGTTAAAAACTATGAGAACAGAGGGTTATGCTGGTAAAGAGAGTAGAGTTGCACAATACAGGCATGTCCTGGTTCACAGTACTGTGTGAAGGTGGGGAATGTGGGAGTGCAATTATTGAAATGTACACTTGCAGATGTATACATGCATATAGTAAGTACATGCATACGTAAACAGAGGTTTACCTGCTTTGGGCACGGAGATCTGCAATGTATTCAAAGTTTTCAGTCAAGCGACCACCACTAGTTATGACGGCCTACAAGAAAACTTATTATTAGCTTGAATTAACATGATGGACAATAATAGATAAATATTATTAAATATAAAAATAAGTTTCTGCCATTCACACAGTAACATGGAAGAGAATATGTCCAGGATTTTGTCAACGAGAAGTTTCTGCCATTCACACAGTAACATGGAAGAGAATATGTCCAGGATTTTGTCAACGAGAAGTTTCTGCCGTCTACACAGTAACATGGGAGAGAAGATGTGCAAGACTTTGTCAACGAGAAGTTTCTGCCGTCCACACAGTAACATGGAAGAGAATATGTCCAGGATTTTGTCAACGAGAAGTTTCTGCCGTCTACACAGTAACATGGGAGAGAAGATGTGCAAGACTTTGTCAACGAGAAGTTTCTGCCGTCCACACAGTAACATGGAAGAGAAGATATCCAGGACTTTGTCAACGAGAAGTTTCTACCGTCCACACAGTAACATGGGAGAGAAGATGTCCAGGACTTCATCAACGAGAAGTTTCTGCCGTCCACGCAGTAACATGGAAGAGAATATGTCCAGGACTTCGTCAACGAAAAGTTTCTGCCGTCCACACAGTAACATGGAAGAGAATATGTCCAGGACTTCGTCAACGAGAAGTTTCTGCCATCTACACAGTAACATGGAAGAGAATATGTCCAGGACTTCGTCAACGAGAAGTTTCTGCCATCTACACAGTAACATGGAAGAGAATATGTCCAGGACTTCGTCAACGAGAAGTTTCTGCCGTCTACACAGTAACATGGGAGAGACTTTGAGTGAGAAGACTGAAGACTGTCGGTGAGAAGTTTCTGAATTATGGTATTTGGTGTCTGTTCTCAGCAAAAGTAAATGCATGAAGCAATCATTGCAACTGAAATTCACACTGGAGAAATACCCTTGCTAGAGATACACTGTAGATTGCTAGCAAGGCCTTTGATGGTGTGTGTGTGTGTAAGATTTCTTCATTAGGTTCTTCAAACGTACTTACAGCAACTCTCGGCTCTAACATAAAAATGTACAGAACTGTTACGACCCTAAAAGGTTCACATTTTGTATTACTGAATTAGCTCAAATCCTATTCTAAAATAATGGAAAAGTAACTGACGAACCTAAGTTGTGGAATGCATAACTAAGCAGTCCTAGGTCAAATACTGTACATGTAATCTTAGGCCCTTACAGAGTACATATGTGCTATACTAGGTCTAGCATTGTTTTAAGCTTGGCTCGGGCCTTTTAATGCCCTCTACAAAACTAATAGCACAAAACATGAACAATGGGCTGTTGCAGCCCAACAAAAATGGGCTGCAACAGCCCATTTTTATACACACAATCAAATAGTTAATATACATATGATAATTTTAGGAGAATAAGTACAGTAGTAATAATGGAGCCGTCTAGTCCAGCCAAGCCCCATGCTAGAAAAAACAAGGAACAGGACGACTCACCCCATGAACCTCATGAGTGAATGATTGCTCCTCAAATGGCTTGGAGGCATCTGACTGCAAGATGTCGTACATGTGGGGAAGCAGCAGGGAGCCAAAGGAGTCCGTGGCCTCTCGTGGGAGCTGTGTGGGCATGTTGTCAATGCTGCACACCAGCACGCCTGGACCCTTGAAACTGGTGGTGGTAGTTGTAAATATTTACACACTCATATTAACTTGGACATATCAGCAGAAAGTGGGTGCATGTCTGGTTTACGAGATAATAATTCTGCATCATCATTATGTGATTACTTAATGTGAATGTATCAATGAAGGATAGTGGATGATTCATTCACAAGGGAGGTGTGCAGGAGTGAAATATAAGGGGCTCGCATAACTGGTAGGCAGTCAGGGACAGTAATATTCACGTAGTAGAGTCGGCTTCATTCTCAACTCACAACTAAATAAATAATAAATAAATGTTTATTTAGGTAAGGTACATACATACATGAAATTTTTTTACAAAGATTGGTGGACTTATAGATAGAGCTAGTACATACAATGCCTAAAGTCACTATTACTCAAAGCGTTTCGGGCAGGAAAAACTTAAATGATTAACGCTTTGAGGGCGATCCCAGGTTCGATTCCCAGCCCAGACAGATATGGATGGGTATGTTTCCTTTAACCTGATGCTTCTGTTCACCTAGCAGTAAATAGGTGCCAAGGAGTTAGGCAACTGTTGTGGGTTGTCATTTGTGTGTCGTGTCATTTCAGTACAGTAGTTTGACCTTGGGGGGACCTCATTACACAGACTTCCTGTACCTGCCACAAAATTATTATAAGCTTTTGTTGTGGACGGGCGGCCTGTGTATATACTGTATATATGTTAGGCTTATATTGAGGATAACCCAGGTCAAACATCTGACCTTCCCCAGGATGCAACCCACAACAGTTGACTAACTCACACATACTGCACCTATTTAATGCTAAGTGAACAGCGTATTAGGTGAAAAGAAACATGCCCAACCATTCCTGTCTCGTGTAGGATTTGAACCCAGGATTCTAGATTGTAAGTCAAGAACGAATTCAACTGTAGACTGGCCAGCTCAGAACATATATTTATACAGACATATCTTTGGCTTCGTCAAACTTTCTTTTGTCTTTGTGTGCACTGTTGGAGTCCTTGTGGTCTTTATACAGGTGTTGGACTGTTGGAGTCTTTGTGGTCTTTATACAGGTGTTGGACTGTTGGAGTCCTTGTGGTCTTATACAGGAGTTGGACTTAATCTTGCTGCCTTCACCAGTCTTATGCACTGTTGCACAACTCCGAAGGCACACTTCTGAACTTTTTCCTATACAATGTTTGAAAAAACACTGCTGTAATGTTTAATATTCTCTCTTTACCATTTATCTTCCAGTAGTCAACTTTAACCTGTCCCCAAGAGACATCTCCATTCTAAGCAAAGGTTACTTAACCCAAACTCTGCTAAACACTACTCTAAGAGATCATTAATCCAAATTCCAGTAACCTGAATCTTATTCTGAATGAATTTATTCCCATCATGCATGAGTAAATAGCAGCAATAAGCAGGTAAATGATGAAAATGCATAGGTAAAAGGAGGGAGTAAACATGTAAATAATGAAAATGTGATAGTAAACAGCGGGAGTAACCGCGCTGTGGTTCAAACAATTTTTAATTTGCTCATTTTTGGACGTTCGTGGTAACAAATTTGGCCTAGACGAATGTTCACTTAACTCAAATGGGGGTGAGAATCTACAGGATTCAGATTATCAATTGTTGACAGTAGTGTTGCAGCTACATACCTCTTAGTATCTTTATTCTGGTCAGCATCGTAGAGACAGAAGGGAGTGTCAATAGTTGTGCACTCTGTCATAAATTCTATGGAGCCGCCCGGATCTGCCGAGATGTCACAGATGGCCAGCATTCGGTGAGGCAGAGATGGAGACCCTCGCTGGAAAATATAATATCTATATTAATATATGTTCAAGAATATTTGAAAGACTAAAGCCCTAATAAAGCAGGTCATTACATCACCTATATTTATTAACTTTTAAAACTTGGCAAGATATTTGCTTTAGATATTTATTTATTTTTTATTTATTTATTTATGTATTTATTTATTTCTTTTTATATATATTCTAGAAGTTACATTGGGTTTATGAGAGTACATAGCATGATGTGTTTACATTCTTGTAAAGCCAATAATACGCACAGCGTTTCGGGTTGGTCCTTAATTTAACAGATAATATTAAGTAAGTAATTTCTAGCAAAAATTTATATAATGTTAACAGGTACATTATAAGAAAATTTGAGAGAGATTAGTAGGTATATTAAAGCACATTAAAGCACACTGAAAGCTTCGATTGAAAGCATTGATAGCTTGATTGATAATATGACAAAGATTAGTAGGCATATTAAAGCACACTGATAGCATATATAAGATAACAGCAATGTTTAATGGTAAAGTTGTAAGCCTTAGGTATATATATTGGGGATTGGGTAGCACACAATATGTGTTCAATATAACAACCATGATACTGTATAAGATGTTGACCAGACCACACACTAGAAGGTGAAGGGACGATGACGTTTTGGTTCGTCCTGGACCATTCACAATCGACTTGAGAATGGTCCAGGACGGACCGAAACGTCGTCGTCCCTTCACCTTCTAGTGTGTGGTCTGGTCAACATACTTTAGCCACGTTATTGTGACTCATCGCCTGCATGATATAAGATGATATCAATGATATCATCTGCCCTGGTGACTCTCTATTACTCCCTTATCTATCCTTATCTCAACTATGGTATTTGTGCTTGGGGTTCTACTACCCAAAATCACTTACGTCCTCTAATTACCCAACACAAAGCCGCTATTAGAACAATATCCAACTCTGGCCCCAGACATCACTCGGTACCCCTACTCAAATCTCTGAATATGTTAGATATTAAGTCACTGCACATTCTCTCATGTGTATTATACATATATAAAACGCTAAACTATAATGCCAATCCTGATCTTAAAAGCTTCATAGAAGGTTGTAACAGAACCCATGAGCACCACACCAGAAATAAATACAGTTTTGATATTCCTAGAGTACGTCTTAATCAAACTAGAAATGCTCTGCAAATCAAGGGGCCCAGAATGTGGAATGACCTTCCCAACCATGTTAAAGACTGTACCTCTCTCAACCAGTTTAAGATAAAAACTAAACACTACCTAATAAATTCCCTGTAATCTACCTCACTCCTCTATTGTCAACCCATGTCTGTTATTTTCTTTTTTTTTTAATCAACACTGTTTGTCAACCTATTGTATTTGTGCTGCTTTTTCAGTCATGTTCCCCCTTTTTTTATCTTTATTTGTATTTGTTCTCAACACTTTTTATTCTTTATGCTCAATTAGTATTAAGTTCTAGATATTAATGTTTTTCTTGCCCGAAACGCACGGCGTAATAGTGGCTTTAGGCATTGTATGTACTAGCTCTATCTATATATCAATCCATTAATGTAACATCACTTGTATGTATATACCTTACCTGAATAAACATCTGAATCTGAATCTGAATCTGATTACAATGGTAAAGTTATATGGCTTAGGAACATATATTGGGGAATTGGGTAGCTCAAAATACAGATACAGTGGATACAAATACTGTACAGATACAAAGGATAAACTCGAACTGGATAGTGAGCGAGTTTAAAGCACTAGGCAGGAAACTATGAAGATGAAATTAGGAACTTTTTGGTTTTATTTTTGAATATGGCAAAAGTTAGACAACTTTTCAATTCGTTAGGGAGTGAGTCTCATAGACAAGGTCCGTTTATTTGCATAAAGTGTTTACACAGATTAAGTTTGACTTTGGGAATATCAAAGATATATTTATGTCTGGTGCGGTGATTATGTTTTCTATTACATCTGTCCAGGAAGAGTTTCAGAACATGGTTTGCACTTAAGAAAAAGGTTTTGTAAATGTAACTGACACAAGAAAATGTGTGGAGTGAATTTATGTTTAGCATGTTTAGGGTTTTAAACAATGGGGTTGAGTGTTGTCTGAAAGCAGAGTTTGATATTGTTCTGATAGCAGATTTTTGCTGGGTGATGGTGAGCTTGAGGTAGTTTGCAGAGGTTGAACCCTAAGCACAGATACCATAAGTAAGATAGAGATAGATAAGTGCATAATATAGTGAGAGGAGAGCAGAGTGGGGTACATAATATCTGATCTCAGTGAGTATACCAACTGTTTTTTAAACTTTCTTACTTATGTGTTGTATGTGGGTGCTAAAGTTGAGACTCTTGTCTAAGTACTGTATAGGCCAAGGAACTTTGCATCATTTTTATTGCTGATGTTAACATATGTTACTTTATGGGTTTATTCCACTCATCTGTGACTCCCAATATTGAGCATTGATACACTGGGTTGTGAGAGCACATAACATTGGTGTTTTTCCATTCTTGCAAAGCCACCAACATGCTTAGAGTTTCTCGCAGCTCCTTAATTTAACAGATACAGTAATTATTATAGGTACATTGTAGCAGAATTTGAAGGATATTAATAGGTACATTGTAGCAAAATATGCATTCAACATAATACCTAGGATATAAGTTGATGTCAGTGACGAGAATGGTGAAGCTGCATATCTTAGGCACTAAAACTGAGGGAGTGGGCAGCACAAGATACAGTGTGAGTTTGAAGAGTACGACTTGCCCCACATGCCTGCATGTTTGACAATGTAACAATCAAACACCAAAGTCAAACCACCAAATGTACTTTCACAACCCGCCATGCCTTTCTTGTACAGTATATAGGTAAGTAAATAAATAAATTGATAAATCTATATAAAAATGGAAATGTTCGTTTAATCAAAATCGCTAATCTCTGAAAGTTCTTCACCGATTGCTTTGAAATTTTGACACAACGTTGCATTCAAATACGCGTATGTTTTTCTATACCTACTATACTGTATAGATGCCTCACCTGTGACAGGTAAAAACATGTTTTTTGAAAAACAGCGCCATCTGTTGCACGTAATAGCAAAAAACCCTATACTAAATATGTTATGATTCCATTTCAATGTTTCCGATTGCATTGAAAAACTTAATTTTCAATGAATTTGATTTTTTTCATTTTGATTTAATTATTTTGTTTGACATTTCATTGGAATTGAGCTGTGTTGTTTACCATACCGTTCATTTCATGAATATAGGAATAGATACCACACCTGTGACAGGTAAAAACATTCTTTAAAAAAAATAACAGCGCCATCTGTTGCACGTATGAGCAACACATGCTAAACTAAATATGTTATAAATCACTTTCAATGTTTCCGACTGCATTGACAAACTGAATTTTCATAGATTTCGATTTATTTTCCTTTTGATTTAATTATTTTGTGTGACATTGCATTGGAATTGAGCTGTGCTGTTTACCATACCATTCATGTCATGAAAATAGTTTATTTGTTTATTTTAATTTTTCATTTTGTTTTTTAACTTTTTCTTATATTGATGTTTCCAATTTTCTGACAGGAACATCAGATCATTTGGGAATGCATCGAAGGAGGGAGGGAGTAGGGAATGGTTGGGGGGACGAGGGGACGGGAGTGGGGGATGGTGGGGTTGACGAGGGGACAGGGAAGGGGGTAATGGTGACGAGGACGAGGGGACGAGGGAGTTGGGGATGGTGGGGGACAAGGAAGGGGGTAATGGTGAGGAGGACAAGGGGACGGGGGAGTTGGGGACGAGGGGACAGGGGGAATGGAGAATGGTAGGGAGGTTAAGGGGACAGGGAAGTGGGGGATGATGGAGTGGACGAGGGGACGGGGTACGGGGGAATTGTAGGGAGGACGAGGGGACAGGGGGAGTGGGAGTTGGTGGGGAGGACGAGGGGATGGTGGAGTGAGTACTGGTTAGGAGGATGAGTGGACGGTAGAGTGGGGGATAGTGTTGAGGACAAAGGGACGGGGAGGGGGGAATAGTGGGAAGGACGAGGGGACGGGGGAGTCGGGAAAGGTTGGGAGAACGATGGGACAGGGGAGGGGGAAATGGTGGGGAGGACTGGGGAACAGGGGAAGGTTGCTGTGGCTCAGCAACACACATGCGTTGCTGAGATATAGCAACGCGTGGCCAGGTATAGCTAGTAAATAAATATATATGTTGTCAATTAGAAAATGAGCAAGACATATTTATGAGTCAAAATATGGCCAGAATTGACAGAAGTGGGGATCCAGGGGGGGTGTATACTGGCTGGACAAGATACTGACAGAGGTGGGGAGCCAGGAGGGGGGGTGTATACTGGCTGGAGAAGATACTGACAGAGGTGGGGAGCCAGGGGGGGGTGTATACTGGCTGGAGAAGATACTGACAGAGGTGGGGAGCCAGGGGGTGTATACTGGCTGGACAAGATACTGACAGAGGTGGGGAGCCAGGAGGGGGGGTGTATACTGGCTGGAGAAGATACTGACAGAGGTGGGGAGCCAGGGGGGGGGTGTATACTGGCTGGAGAAGATACTGACAGAGGTGGGGAGCCAGGGGGTGTATACTGGCTGGAGAAGATACTGACAGAGGTGGGGAGCCAGGGGGGGGGTGTATACTAGCTGGAGAAGATACTGACAGAGGTGGGGAGCCAGGGGGTGTATACTGGCTGGAGAAGATACTGACAGAGGTGGGGAACCAGGGGGTGTATACAGGCTGGAGAAGATACTGACAGAAGTGGGGAGCCAGGGGGGGGGTGTATACTGGCTGGAGAAGATACTGACAGAGGTGGGGAGCCAGGGGGGGGGGGTGTATACTGGCTGGAGAAGATACTGACAGAAGTGGGGAGCCAGGGGGTGTATACTGGCTGGAGAAGATACTGACAGAGGTGGGGAGCCAGGGGGTGTATACTGGCTGGAGAAGATACTGACAGAGGTGGGGAGCCAGGGGGTGTATACTGGCTGGAGAAGATACTGACAGAGGTGGGGAGCCAGGGGGTGTATACTGGCTGGAGAAGATACTGACAGAGGTGGGGAGCCAGGGGGGGGTGTATACTGGCTGGAGAAGATACTGACAGAGGTGGGGAGCCAGGGGGTGTATACTGGCTGGAGAAGATACTGACAGAGGTGGGGAACCAGGGGGTGTATACTGGCTGGAGAAGATACTGACAGAGGTGGGGAGCCAGGGGGGTGTATACTGGCTGGAGAAGATACTGACAGAGGTGGGGAGCCAGGGGGGGGGTATACTGGCTGGAGAAGATACTGACAGAGGTGGGGAGCCAGGGGGGGGGGTGTGTATACTGGCTGGAGAAGATACTGACAGAGGTGGGGAGCCAGGGGGTGTATACTGGCTGGAGAAGATACTTGGCGTCAGGGATGGTCAGCAGCTTCGGGGAGTTGAGCGCCCAGTAGATCCCATTGATGATAACAGATGCATATGGGGCCACCTTCCACCAGATAAAAAAAAGCCTTTCAGAGTCTATTATAAGATAATAAACATGATATGGACAATTAATATAAGATTAATTATATTTTCAATATATCATGGCAATAATACAGGCCACTATAAACACAAAACAAGGGGGGTCATCACTGCATAATTAACCACTAAAACATTCACTATGTAAATATAAATAGGCCGGGCTCCGTCTGACATAGGGAGTTTGGTGGTCTGCCTCATAATATACTTGGATTCTACAGCTTTCAATTAACTAACATACATCAAATACCTTCCAATGCTACATCAGCTCAAGTCAATATAACTTGCCGGCGCACAACTTCCATTTTCTCAAATGCTAACCCAATTAACCTAAATACTGAACCCCCCATAATAAATAAATAAGCAAGAAACTGACCTTATGGGCAAAGACGGAGATGTATCTCTCTGGATGTTCCTCGTACTCCACAGCATCATATTTGCCGCCATCTTTTTTAACAAGGTGGTCCCGGCGACTCACCTCACAGCAGTATATTTTGCTGGTAGCTGCCAGAGACAAGATATGGTGGTTAACTTACATCAAGTTATATGAAGTGTTCCCTTATGAGTTAGCCCTCAGTTGCCCACGAGTGTGACAAGGTCTTGTGTAATATATGGCATCAAGTTATATGAAGTGTTCCCTTATGAGTTAGCCCTCAGTTGCCCGCGAGTGTGACAAGGTCTTGTGTAATATATGGCATCAAGTTATATGAAGTGTTCCCTTATGAGTTAGCCCTCAGTTGCCCTCGAGTGTGACAAGGTCTTGTGTAATATATGGCATCAAGTTATATGAAGTGTTCCCTTATGAGTTAGCCCTCAGTTGCCCACGAGTGTGACAAGGTCTTGTGTAATAGATGATTCAGATTCAGATTCAGATGTTTATTCAGGTAAGGTATATACATACAAGTGATGTTACATTAATGGATTGATATATAGATAGAGCTAGTACATACAATGCCTAAAGCCACTATTACGCAATGCGTTTCGGGCAAGAAAACATTAATATCTAGGACTTAATACTAATTGAGCATAAAGAATAAAAGATGTTGAGAACAAATACAAATAAAGATAAAAAAAAGGGGGAAACATGACTGAAAAAGCAGCACAAATACAATAGGTTGACAAACAGTGTTGATTAAAAAAAAAAAAAAAAAAAAAAAAAAAAAAAAAAAAAAAAAAAAGAAAATAACAGACATGGGTTGACAATAGAGGAGTGAGGTAGATTACAGGGAATTTATTAGGTAGTGTTTAGTTTTTATCTTAAACTGGTTGAGAGAGGCATCAAGTTATATGAAGTGTTCCCTTATGAGTTAGCCCTCAGTTGCCTGCGAGTGTGACAAGGTCTTGTGTTAATAGTACTGATATATAGTCTGGGAGGAAAGACAGGCAGGTGGTACAACTCAGTCCACCAGGGAGACTACTCTCTTTTTTTTGAGATATATACAAGAGTTGTTACATTCTTGTACAGTCACTAGTACGCGTAACATTTCGGGCAGGTCCCTGGAATATGACCCCCGCCGCTAAGAATCGTATATGACAAGACTCTCTAAGACAAAAGAAGAGAATCATATCACTCAGTTCCTTTCTAGAGATTATTGGAATCACCAAGACAGCCAGTTCTGTAAGTTAACTGCCAGTCAGTTAACTACCCACTACAACAACCACCATCAGACACAAACAACTGGCAGCCATGACAGTCAAAGGCACATGCAACCTCCACTTAAAGCCCAGTCAAAGAGTACACAGGAGAACAAAAGGAACCATCCCCACCTGCCTGAAAAATAAACCACACTGAAGAAAAAAGTAATAAAGAAATAGCTAGAACAAAACATAAACCCTTTAACCCAGAGACAAAGACCAGGTAGGGAAGAGGCCACTAGGTAGCAAACCTAAGTGGACCCAAACTGGGCCTCATCAACCCACTGACAAGTAAAGGAACTTTAACCCAGAGACATGGACCAGGTAGGGAAGAGGCCACTAGGTAGCAAACCTTAGTGGACCCAAACTGGGCCTCATCAACCCCCTAACAAGTAAAGAAAAAGGAAAGATAATAACATGGCACAATAGTCTTGATCAATTAAATAACAGCCATATTTTGGAGCAAACACAGCACCTGATGAGTGAAGCTATTGCTGGTTACACCCACCTGTGGGGGCCCAGCCAGCATACACTGGGTGCCACACACACTTAAGTCACACCTATATCACTCCAAAAAAGTTAAGCCCTGGAAGAAAACACCACACACATGCACATAGGATCAAGATAAATCACCAGAAACTGTCAAGTCACAGAGGCAAGACATACATCACCAAAACAAGAACAACAAATAACCAAAGGCCACAAGGCAAGAGGATACAAAACCAACCTATGCTCTTGCATAACACATTGTATTGTGACATAACCAAAGGCCACAAGGCAAGAGGATACAAAACCAACCTGTGCTCTTGCATAACACATTGTATTGTGACATAAAAGTCCCCCAACATCAAAGTAAGACAAGACATAAATCATAGACATTTTACAAGGCTTTGTAAAATTGAACAGGATGTCTTGGTTTCTATATGTGGGGTCCTCGGTGAGGGTAGTCTCGAGCACTTGAGCACAACATTTTAGCGAGGTTATCATCACAGGACGGGACGGGCTGTGGCGGGACAATGTTAAGTACCAAGTGTGGCTTGCCTGCACCTCTGTCTTTGTTATGGTAGTATTATTACACAGTGGGGTGAGTGTAGTGGGTAAATACCTGAATAAAAATTTATTATTTATTATAAATGGGTGAGTGTAGTGGGTAAATGGGTGAGTGGCAATTAGCAGAGGGACCATTTGCTATCCTGAGAAGTCGAGTTATCTCTCGATGGGGATGACAAGTGATAAGGTGTGAACTTGTTGTCTGACAGTGAGATGACTTTGTGCTGGCCAATCAATTCATTTCTGCACTGTCTTTCATGCCCTATTACATGGCAAGACTATGTGTTGTGAATATAATGTGACTATGGCAATAGATAACTTTTTGCATTTATTCTTGTTATAGAACATGATGTAGTTATGGGACAATCACAACAACATGATGTAGTTATGGGACAATCATAACAACATGATGTAGTTATGGGACAATCATAACAACATGATGTAGTTATGGGACAATCACAACAACATGATGTAGTTATGGGACAATCACAACAACATAGTGTAGTTATGGAACAATCATAACAACATGTAGTTATGGGACAATCATAACAACATGGTGTAGTTATGGGACAATCATAACAACATGGTGTAGTTATGGGACAATCACAACAACATGGTGTAGTTATGGGACAATCCCAACAACATTATGATTGTCCCAATGTTTGCACATGACAGAACACTAATGAGGAATGTAAAAACATAGGAGAACTGCAGAAAATTACAGGAACCTTTAACATACTTGAGAAGTTGGCAGACACATGGCTGTAAGAGTTTCACCCCAAGATGTGTAAGATAATGAAGACAGGAAAGGGAGATATAAGGCCACAAGAACTCTACATCAAAAGAGGAAGGAAACTATAGGAACAGGAAAGATAAAAACATTTGGGAGTTGAGACAATAGCAGTGCCTGCACCAGAGGCACATATAAGTATCAAGAGCATAACACTGGCTTCATATGGAACAAAGGTAGTAGGTGGGCTAGACCTTACTTCCTCATAGTCCCTATTGGGTAAGTTGTCTTAGGCAAGTATACTCCAGCAAACCATACATCTTCATCTTAAGGATTCAGGCATACAAAACAGTATACATAAATCTAAACGTCATAACTTCCGTAACCATATACGTAGCTTTTGTAACTTACACCCGTGCTCGGCTACTTTCTTAAGAGCCTTGACGGAGACGTACTCGTGGGGTAGTTCTTGGACTATCTCCTGGGCCCCCTGAGACACGTTGCCAGTGCCTGTGAAGATAAACGTCAGAGGACCGATGGAGTTAGGCATCATGCCAAGTGAGATTTCGTAACCAGTGTCACGAATTGATTGTCTAGCCATCTCTGTGTTACGGTAATTGTGAGCCGGTCCAATATGCTGTGGGAACAAATTTAATCCAGTTGAACAGAGATAAATAATATAGGAATACTTAAAAACCCAGTGAGGGTAAAAACATTACAAACTTTGGCAGCAATATTTATGAGTTTAAATAAAGCTGTGCGAGTGTGGGGGGGGGGAAGGGGGGGGGAAGCTCCACTTTGGGAAGAACACAGCATTCCTCCTGAAGACAAGAGCCTTCTCCCACACACACGGTCGTGCTCAGTCATAATAGGGTGATATTCTGCACCAACACCAGGGAGCATAACCTCCCTGCTGGGCCATATTGGTACTGGGGGGGGGGGGGAGCACTGGAGTACACAGCAGGGAGCATAACCTCCCTGCTGGGTCATATTGGTACTGGGGGAGGGGAGACTCTGGAGTACACAGCAGGGAGTATAACCTCCCTGCTGGGTCATATTGGTACTGGGGGGGGGGGGGAGCACTGGAGTACACAGCAGGGAGCATAACCTCCCTGCTGGGTCATATTGGTACTGGGGAGACACTGGAGTACACAGCAGGGAGCATAACCTCCCTGCTGAGTCATATTGGTACTGGTGGGGGGAGCACTGGAGTACACAGCAGGGAGTATAACCTCCCTGCTGGGTCATATTGGTACTGGGGGGGGGGAGCACTGGAGTACACAGCAGGGAGCATAACCTCCCTGCTGGGTCATATTGGTACTGGGGGGGGGGGAGCACTGGAGTACACAGCAGGGAGCATAACCTCCCTGCTGGGTCATATTGGTACTGGGGGGGGGGGGGGGGGAGCACTGGAGTACACAGCAGGGAGTATAACCTCCCTGCTGGGTCATATTGGTACTGGGGGGGGGGGAGCACTGGAGTACACAGCAGGGAGCATAACCTCCCTGCTGGGTCATATTGGTACTGGGGGGGGGGAGCACTGGAGTACACAGCAGGGAGCATAACCTCCCTGCTGGGTCATATTGGTACTGGGGGGGGGGAGCACTGGAGTACACAGCAGGGAGCATAACCTCCCTGCTGGGTCATATTGGTACTGGGGAGACACTGGAGTACAGAGCAGGGAGTATAACCTCCCTGCTGAGTCATATTGGTACTGGGGGGGGGGGAGCACTGGAGTACACAGCAGGGAGTATAACCTCCCTGCTGAGTCATATTGGTACTGGGGAGACACTGGAGTACACAGCAGGGAGTATAACCTCCCTGCTGAGTCATATTGGTACTGGGGAGACACTGGAGTACACAGTAGGGAGTATAACCTCCCTGATGGGTCATATTGGTACTAGGGAGACACTGGAGTACAGAGCAGGGAGTATAACCTCCCTGCTGAGTCATATTGGTACTGGGGAGACACTGGAGTATGTTCAATCCTGCCCAAAGTAATCACTAGAGCAGTGGTTCCCAATTTACTAGCCCTACTTACTAGCTAACTAGAAATACTGGTAAAAAATTTCAGATATTTAGAGATGTAAAAATGTTTAAACATTGCCTACTTGAGATACTTACCACGTGCTAATTCTCGATGATTCAGATACACTCAGAATTTAGGTTCTGCAATTCCCCAGAAAACATTTCAGGGGGACTGTGTCCCACTGTTTGGAACTCTAAGGCCTACAAGGTTTATATATACACACATAAAGCCTTTCTGACCACTAGAGGGTTCATAAAGACACAAATGAAGCATTTCCATATGTTAATTGGCATCACAAACTACCAAGCAGCACTCACACTAACTACTGGCTGGCATACTGTCACCTGTAGTTTACCCATAGCTGGTTTTGAGAGTACCTGTACTTGTACACTCAGAACGGCTAGGAGTCAGACTTATTTGGTAGTAGTAAATAGGTAGAGCACCTAGGAGTGTGTCAACTGTTGTGGGGTTGCCTTCTGAGGAGGGGTCACTTGTTTGACACTCGGGGGGGACTCAATACCAGCCTAATGTATATACACACTCTACGTACACACTTATCTCTCCCTGACAAGAATAATTATCATTATCATTATTAATATTATAGATGAAACCATTACAAACCACATTATCAAATTTGCAGATGACACCAAGATCTATAGTAAAGTAGGAAGCAAAAATGATACCGAGACCTTACAAAGTGATCTGTTTGAACTCCACAAATGTTGGAAGACTAGCAAATGCTCTTTAAACAGGTATTGTTTACACTCAATAATGCAAATCACACAGAGCCCACCCCTTTCAAGTAGCCAAATTTCTTACCAGGTATGTCCAAAAATTAAAAAATTTAAAATTTTTGTACTACAGAACAACTAACAGTCATTCCCGCCAATTACCAGTAAACTCTCAAAGTTTACCCTTGCATTTCCATCGCTCACCTGCCTACTCCTGCTGTTTACACATACACAATGAACACAGATCCATTCAAATTACCCGAAGATTTGAGTTAACGGAATTTGGATTGCCGAGTGTTTACAGTATTGACCAACCATGAAAGGTGTATGGTGACCAAGAGCCAGAAGTCGAAGCCCGAGACCATTGAGAACGTTGATCATTCCCGCCACCCCGGCGTACTTGCCAAAGGCCACCACACGCTGCCCTTGTCGGTCACACATTCGCTCATAGTCAATCAGGCGGATGTTCTGCAAATACCAACAGTCATATAATGATGAGAAATGATTGTTACAGGATTTAAAATGATGATTATAGCACTAAGAAAAATAACTAGAACCTATTTGATATTCCAAGAGTGCGCCTTAACCAAACTAGAAATGCTCTATAAAGCAAGGCACCCAGAATGTGGAATGACCTTCCCAATCATGTCAAAGACTGTACCTCTCTCAACCAGTTCAAGAGAAAAACTAAGTATATGTACTGTACTACCTAATAAACTCTATGTAACCTACCTTACCCACTAAATGTCAACCTGTCTTGTTATTTTTCTAACAATATTGTTTATTGACCAACATGTTTAATTGCTGATATCTGCCGTGTATAAACCTTTAGAAAATTGTAGTCATTGTTTATTTAGTTAAGCTTCCTTTTTGCTGTTCTGCTTCAATTTCTGCTGTTTCAGCCATCAAGTAATTATTATCATTTTTTTCCCCCTTTTTCAATTCAATTTATGCTTTGATCTCAATTAGTTTTAAGTTTTAGTCTAAGTGTTTTCCCACACCTTGCCTGAAATGTTGTCAACGTATTAGTGACTTTAGGCACAGTATGTACTAGCTGTATCTAGTAATCCAACATTTTGTTTGTAACTCATCTTGTATGTATGTATGTACGTTTACCTGAATAAATATTTATTTATTTATTTACTTTATTTACATGCTAAACGTACACTCACTCCACAAATTCTCGTGTGCTATCTTCATGTACAAAATCTTGTTCCTAAATGCTAATCTTAATCTGAAACTTTTTCTCCATAGGTGTAATAAAACCCATGATCACCAGACCAGAAATAAATATCTATATGATATCTCCAGAGTCAAACTAAGTCTGTGCAAACACTCCATGCAAATAAAAGGGCCCAGTCGTTGGAACTCACTCCCTAATGAATTAAAAAATTGTCCAACCTATGCCCTATTCAAAAGTAAAACCCCCCCAAAAAAAACAGCGTTGAATGTAATGAAACGCCATTTTTTAGGAGAGTCTTGGAGGCTTCCAAGAGCAATTCCGGGCTGATATGCATATATTAGACTGTGGCATCAGTCAATTTGATTGGAGTTCTAGCCTACCAGGGATCACAAGCCAAAACCTGGCCCCCCCTCAGAGGCACGAGGAGCAATGGCCTATAGAAACCCCCTGTGTGGTTGAAAGCATTCTATGTCTGCCATCTACCGGGTTAGGCACCCAGAAAGATAAGCGTCCCAAAACAGACTCCACCTGGTGAAAATTGCTACTGAAAACCAAACTATCAAGCAGAACTCCACAATCTGGTAAACAAGCAAACAAGCATGGCATAACAACCGCAGCCGCACCGCTGTCTGCACAGTCTGTGGAAGGGAAAGGCCCAGACCCCTCGTGCCAGCTACCCAATCCCAGTTCACAGGCTGAATATCAAAATGCGAAAATCACCAACCGGAGGGAGGAAGGATTGTCAGGGAAGCCTCCAAGACTCGCCCAGAAAATGGCGTTGAATGTATGGTTTTCTGTGGAGAGCCCCTCCAGCTACTCATCCTCTCACTCTCCTACCAAAGGATTATGAAGGTAGTTATTCAACTGTATAAAACTCAGATGGGGCCCCCATCTGGACAACTATCCATGCATACCCAGTGGGCACCGTTGATCGAGAGTTACCAATGTTACATACTAAACAGTACATGTCAGTCGCTTTCAACCAATGGTGCCCACTGGGTAGGGGACCTCATCTTCACGACATATCTGCTATGGAGAAAGTTCAACACCGGGCAACAAAAATCATCCTGGAATTAAGTCAACGCTCATACCAGGAGCAGTTGAGGGTCTCAGGGCCAACAACACTGCAAACCAGACATGATAGGGCTGATCTCATCAAAAACTTTAAAATACTGAACAATTTTGAGGATGTTGATCCAGTCCACTTCTTTAAGAGGCAATCTTACTGAGCAGCTGCTGAGCACCTGTAACACTGCCCCCCAACAGTACTTGTACCTTCTCTAAAATGGCGTCGAGAAGTGGCATATTGGCCTCTTGGGCTTTTATTGTGTGAGAGAAGAAGCAGTAGGTTCTATTAGGGATTAGTTGGTCGATGGGGACTTGTTTCACACCAATGATCACCGGCGCCTCCGACAGGTCTTCCTGTACCTTGGCTCCCACATTCTGGTACGCCTGCAAGCAATTGTTATATTAATAATAATAATCATTTATTTAGACAAATGTACATACATATAATTCATGAACAGAGGAAGATACATTGGTAAGACAATTACAATGCATAAAAAGGTACAGTACGTAGGAGAAAATGAACAGGTGTAATTAGGGAATACTTAAATTTAAATGAGATATTGCAACATTATTGAATTGCCGAAAGATCTGAAAATACTGTACAGTAATTGATAATTACAGTAAACATAAGACATTTATGAATGGCAGCTGCTTTAGCAGTTCATACAGCTACTAATTATTAAAGGTAGATAAGAATAAGAAAATTTAACATTCTCATTCATGTGTATTCTTTTAAATAAAAATACACATATTTTTGTGTATAAATACACAAAATATGTGTATTTTTAAAGAGTGCTGTTTGTCGACATAATTGTACTTGTGCTGCTTTTTCAGCTATGTTTTCATTTCTTGTTTTCATTCTACTCTTTATGCTCAATTAGTATTAAGCTTGTCATTTAAGTTTTTCATGCCCGAAATGCTTTGCGTAATAGTGGCTTTAGGCATTGTATGTACTAGCTCTACCTATAAGTCAACCAATCTTTGTAAAAATTTCTTGTATGTATGTACCTTACCTAAATAAACATTTATTTATTTATTTATTTATATTTATTTATTCATTAGATATTATGTACCCCGCCCTGCCCTGGTGACTCTCTATTACTCCCTTATCTATCCATATCTCAACTATGGTATTTGTGCTTGGGGTTCTACTACCCAAAATCATTTACGTCCTCTAATTACTCAACACAAAGCTGCTATAAGGACAATATCCAACTCTGGCCCCAGACATCACTCGGTACCCCTACTCAAATCTCTGAATATGTTAGATATTAAGTCACTGCACATCCTCTCATGTGTATTATACATATATAAAACGCTGAACTGTAATGCCAATCCTGACCTCAAAAGCTTCATTGAAGGTTGTAACAGAACCCATGAGCACCACACCAGAAATAAATACAGTTTTGATATTCCAAGAGTACGACTTAATCAAACTAGAAATGCTCTACAAATCAAGGGACCCAGAATGTGGAATGATCTTCCCAACCATGTTAAAGACTGTACCTCTCTCAACCAGTTTAAGATAAAAACTAAACACTACCTAATAAATTCCCTGTAACCTACCTTACCCCTCTATTGTCAACCCATATCTGTTATTTTTTTTTAATCAACACTGTTTGTCAACCTATTGTATTTGTGCTGCTTTTTCAGTCATGTTCCCCCCTTTTTTTTATCTTTATTTGTATTTGTTCTCAACACATTTTATTCTTTATGTTCAATTAGTATTAAGTTCTAGATATTAATGTTTTTCCTGCCCGAAACGCATTGCGTAATAGTGGCTTTAGGCATTGTATGTACTAGCTCTATCTATATATTGATCCATTAATGTAACATCACTAGTATGTATGTACCTTTCCTGAATAAACATATACATTTATTATTTATTTATTTAACATACAATGTTTTATGATATATAGGAACAGCAGTATTTATTAACATCAAATATGCAGCAATTAATAAGTATTGTTCACAATAATGGCAAAACACTGACTGACATGACAGTAGATATAAACTGTGATTACAAGACTAGACCTCTGATGAGTCTGCCTGTATCATCGCTCCCTGATACGCCTATAAGCAATTATTATCCAGCTACCCGAGAAGGTACTTATGAATGAGACACAGTAGCATACTGTACATGTAAACTGCAATTTAACTTTACCAATACCAAAAAACAGTATAAATATTAATACAGTAAATATATTATTTTAATACTATGCAATTTATATATAATACAAAATGTTTATTTAATTGAAATTCATATATAACAGTCATAGCCTTTCTTACAAGACGTATGATTATAGAACTTAATCCCAGTTGACAATGTAAAGAAGACAACTCTCACCTGCATGGGGTATGCACGACGGTTTGATGGCTGCACGATGACCTTGACCCCATTTTTTACTAGCTGTCTAACCTGAGAGGGACCAAGTGGGGCGCGTCTCTCCCAAACGCTTTGGTCCTCACGACGGATTCCCAGAATCCGGCCTCGTACATTTCTCTGCAATTGATAACAAGGGGCTTAGTACACGGGTCCACTCCGCTGGTGAGAATCTTTCACCCAGATGCTGAAATAGTACAAACTAAACTGAAGTAGAAGAATTATAATAATTACATGTTGAATTAGCAGCAGCAATTGCAACAGAGGAACAAATAGTAACTTTTAATAAATATACAGACTGACCACAATTTTCTTAAAATATTTTCCTTAAAACTCTATAAAACATGGCCAATAGTCTAATGATTTGTTTGTTCATTTGTAAGAAAGTTCTCACCAAATTGATTAGGAGGGGGGCTCTTCAATAACAAATTACAAAGGCATTTTCAATAGAAACATTATTGAATCTGCTTTAATACAGATTACAAAATCATATAATTTGAACATTAGTAGTGGTTTGTATAATTTATATCTAGTTTTGATTGATCAGTTAAAGGGTACTTTGAGTAGGACCACTGATGCACATTTATCTCAATAATACCTTATTAATATCCCTTATCTCATTTAAGACATTTTGTCACCTCATTCCTGCCTATATATTCACATCACTAAATTATAAATCTATCCTTCTGAAGATGTATTATTAAATACGAAAGTACTTAAGGAAATTCCTGTCTTAATCCTTCATTCGTGGCCTGACCTTGTCATATATAGATAATATATATTTCATTGAATATGACTGCATATTCTATGTTCATTATTTTCTTGTTTAGGGCTTCTATACCTCTGACTAGTGTTCTTGTATCTTGGGTTAACTGGAAGAGGATTTCTCCAAATGTGGTATTTATCTAAGGTTGAGTAAAAGAATAGTAATTTAACTGTAGAATGTATTATACAGTTCTGTAATTTACACAAAGTTTCGAATCCACAAGGTACATTCTCAAGTGAGGAGACATGATGATGATGAAGATTAAGCCATCATAAGAGGTGGTGATGAGTAGGCTGTAGGTGAGGAGACAGTCTGTTGGTGTTGTTGTTTTAGATTCAGCTACTCAGAACAAAATGTTCCAAGTAGCACGGGCTATGGTGAGCCTGTAAGTGGAGGCTCATTGGAGACATTATCTGTATCAATAGCTGATACTAGAGCTCTGGGAATGGATGGGGGTCTTCATAGTGGTTTCCACTATGAAGACCCCCAGATGGATGTCCCAGTTATGGAGTTGGCGGGGTTAGTGTAGACCTCTAGATCATCCGTTTTTCTTTGGGTGAGACTTTGGCTGAGCCGTGCTGGCATTGGAGTTAGGTGAGGTGGCTTCCATGAGGTCTTTTACTGAGTAGGTGTCGTGTCTGTGGTACGGCAGTGGAGCTCTTACTAAGATTTCCTCATCTGAAGAGTCCGTAATCTCCGTAGTTGCTGTTTTCGTCTTTCGTCTAGCAGCCTGAGGTAGGCTCAGGTGTTGGGGATTGGTGGTAGAAGCTATTTTAGGAGCGTTGGTGATGCCGTTAGCATTTGTTGACCGCACGTCTGCTAACGTGGTTGCTGAGATAGTGCTGGTAGGAGTGTTGGGAGCTGGAGAGGGAATTACCTCTCTTTATGCCGCCCGGGTCATGGGTGGTTCTGGAATCTGTGTTGAAGTCGCCCTCGTGGTCGTCCTGGTGGTAGTCTCCGGAATGGTAGTGGAGGCAGTGAGACTTGTGCCAGGGGCTATGTGGGGGCCAGACCATTGGCTAGGTACAATGTGTTCAGTTCACTGACAAAGCGCTGGTTGTCTGGTCCGGTAAGTCTCTCCACTAGTCTAATAAGACCAGGGATAATGACTGCACGTGATGCAGGGGGATGTGAAGGAGCATGTGGGACCTTGGGTACCCATTGTGAAGGCTGGGTCGCCCGGGGGGAGGAGCCACTATTTGGTAAGACTGGAAAGTTTTCTGGTCGGTTGATGTTAGCAGAGGTGGTGGGTTGAGCGCCTGGGGCTCTGGTCGAGGAGGTAGAAGGGTTGTTTCTCTTGGCTTCAACCTGGGCCTTGGTGTTTTCCTGTCTGCGGGGGCAGCAGTAGGAAATTGCGGGGTGATTGCCATCACAGAGCAAGCAGCGATGGACTGTTGCCTTGCATATGGAGTAGTGATGGTCCAGTGAGCACAGGCTGCACTTCTTGACAGGGTGCTGACACATGTTGGTCGGGTGGGAGAGCTCGTAGCACTTAAAGCACTGCTGGATCTCTTGGTATCGTTCTTTTTTTACTTGGTGGGGTGGTATTTGTAAGCCGAAGCAGTAGAATCCTTGTGTGGCAGCCTGGGTGGCCGCAGCTATGGTGATGAAAGTAATCTTCATTGATGATTTGTCGGTGTTGCAGAACTCTAGGTTGAGCACATCCAGGTTCGGAATTTCGTCCTCAATATTGTCTATGATATTATGTTGCGGTCGGTCAGCGATCCACTGGCTGGTCCTGCTGGTATAAACAGTTCTACCGGCCAGGAACTGACGTGGGAAGCGAGGATGTAGGTGGTGCTCCTTGCCAAGTATGACATCGTTGATATGTAGCGGTGTGAATGAGGAGACAGGTTGTTGTTGTTGTTTTAGATTTAACTACTCAGAACGAAGTGTCCACGTAGCACGGGCTATAATGAGCCCGTAATAGAGTTCGGTTATTCGCGATAACCTTGTTAATGTGATATTTGGGTCTAAGTTTTAAATGCAGGTGGGGATTCCTCCCTTTTCCCTGTTTCTTTTTCGCTTCTGTTTTAGTGCACTGGTTTTAGTCTTGTTTTATCAACATTATCTTGGAGGGGGATGTAGATGCAGAATGCTCACTAGTGAGTCCCATTCCTCAACGGCTTTTCTAATCATTGTAGTCGCGGTGGAATGTGCATGTAATGCAGCTGCTGTCGTTGAATTAATGTTGAGTTTGATGCTCAGGGCTTCAGTAACTTCACATTCCAGTAAGCAGTGCAATAGTGGCGCCTCTGCTTCTGTTCTACAGATATGACACTCTTTAACTATTGGGTTTATTACCTCCCAGCAGCACTTGTAACCAAGTCTGAGTCTGTGTATGGCTACTGCAATGTCTCTGGATATCTTTTTGCCAGGCTTGAAAGAGTAGTTCCCAGTGGCTTGTTCGTACCATATCGCAGTGGATCGGTACCCCTACTCAAATCTCTGAATATGTTAGACATTAAGTCACTGCATATTCTCTCATGTGTATTATACATATATAAAACACTAAACTGTAATGCCAGTCCTGACCTCAAAAGCTTCATAGAAGGTTGTAACAGAACCCATGAGCACCACACCAGAAATAAATACAGTTTTGATATTCCTAGAGTACGACTTAATCAAACTAGAAATGCTCTACAAATCAAGGGGCCCAGAATGTGGAATGACCTTCCCAACCATGTTAAAGACTGTACCTCTCTCAACCAGTTTAAGATAAAAACGAAGCTATACCTAATAAATTCCCTGTAACCTACCTTACCCTTCTATTGTCAACCAATATCTGTTTTTTTTAAAGAGCGCTGTTTGTCGACATAATTGTATTTGTGCTGCTTTTTCAGCTATGTTTTCATTTCTTATTTTCATTTTACTCTTTATGCTCAATTAGTATTAAGCTTGTCATTTAAGTTTTCATGCCCGAAACGCTTTGCGTAATAGTGGCTTTAGGCATTGTATGTACTAGCTCTACCTATAAGTCCACCAATCTTTGTAAAAAAAATTCTTGTATGTATGTACCTTACCTAAATAAACATTTATTTATTTCCTTCCGCTACTTTGGCTCTGTGGCGACTTTTGATAGTTTGGAGTATTTTCTTCTTGATTTGCTCCTTAATCTGTGAACAACTTGGAGGTATTTGAACCTGTACAACAGGTAGAGCGGTGACAGTTTTTGCTAGTGAGTCTGCCTCTTCATAGGAGACAGGTTGGAACATCTGATTTATGCCACTGAAAGGTCAGGTACATTCACAATTAAGCGAGGAGAAAGGCGAAAGTAAGGAGTAAAGGTAAAGTGAGGTGATTGGTCAACAACCTAAACATACATAGATCAGTTAGCTGATTAGAACTCAGTTGAGTGTAGTGGGCGCTTTGGCCAGTGGCATCTTTGTTCAGTTGACTGTAGTGGGCATGGCGTTTTGACTGTAGTGGGCATGGCTTTTTGACTGTAGTGGGCATGGCGTTTTGGGCATTGGCATCTTTGCGTACCGGGTTTGCTGTCACTCTCATGGTGGGTAAAGTGAACAGTTCCGTTATTTGAGTATTTATGGTTCGACTTTTATGTGAAGGGCTTCAAGAATTTGCACTCTTCTTACATCTTCGGCTTTATCTTATATGCAAGTGTTTTTATTTAGCATTTCTCTTGTTAAGGTGATGTCACGGACTTCTCTCAAGTGTTTATCCGGGTCACGTAACAGGTCACACGCCTGGTGAGGTCGGTCGACGTCATAACTCTGTACTTAGACTGAGCGTTACATCCTTCATGGTGCAGGTGGACAGTTATACCACATTCATCTGCTGTAAAGACTTCTCCGTCCGCTTCCCGGTGTTTATAACAGGCAGGTTTAGTGGTCAACTTTGTCTTATAGTACACGATGAAGCCAATGTTTTGGTTAAGGCTTGTGCTCTTGACTCTTCCTTTACGGATTATTTCTTATATTCACTGTGCATGGTTGAGTTGTAATATAATGTTAGTGGAGGTGTTGTGGAGTGTGTTCTTGGCTCAGGATTGTGCCACTGGTGCACGTGTTGTGTTATAGTAGTGTTGATCTTGTGGTTACCATTGATCACCAGTACTTGTCTTGTCCTCCCACACTCCCTATACTCACCTTCCTCCATCACCAGCAGTGGCTATATAACAGGTCGACCAATATAACCCTTGAGAACACTGTCTTTGTATCTTTGGTGCCACTCACTACTACCAGCTAGGTATACTCCTTTATATGCTGGCTGGGTATATATGCTGGCTGGGTATATATGCTGGCTGGGTATATATATGCTGGCTGGGTTTATATGCTGGCTGGGTATATATGCTGGCTGGGTATATATGCTGGCTGGGTATATATGCTGGCTGGGTATATATGCTGGCTGGGTATATATGCTGGCTGGGTATATATGCTGGCTGGGTATATATGCTGGCTGGGTATATATGCTGGCTGGGTATATATGCTGCCTGGGTATATATGCTGGCTGGGTATATATGCTGCCTGGGTATATATGCTGGCTGGGTATATATGCTGCCTGGGTATATATGCTGCCTGGGTATATATGCTGCCTGGGTATATATGCTGGCTGGGTTTATATGCTGCCATATATATTCCAGCGCATATACCCAGCCTACAAACATAGGATTATGCTCCCATCCCCCCCCCCCCCAAGCTAACTATCTAGCTGGGTAGTTGACTAAATCTCTGGCTTTCTGATTGGCTGAATTAGCAGACTGGCTAGCTAGCTCACTGACTGGGTGGTGGTTCCCTAGTAAGCTAGCGGGGGGGGGGAGGAAGAAGCAATGCCAGAGTGGGTGACGTAACATATTGGGAAGGCAACACCTTTGCATCACCTGAGTAGCCAACATGGTCAGCATACTCACAGGTTATTACTGTGTTATCTCTTCCTAGGTGATGTTGACACTCCCTACTGACCCCCACAGTCCTCAACACCCACCATCCTACACCATGCCACCCACAACAGTTACCTTGCTCCCCGGTGCTTATTTACTGCTAGCTGAACACTGGGATTGGTCTCTTGCCTGTAACTATCGCCATCCCTACTGCGTCACTCAGGGAACACCGTCACTCAGGGAACACCAGGAGCGTCACTCGGGTAACACCAGGAGCGTCACTCAGGTAACACGTCACTCAGGGAACACCAGGGACGTCACTCAGGTAACACCGGGACCGTCACTCAGGTAACACCAGGAGCGTCACTCAGGTAACACGTCACTCAGGGAACACCAGGGACGTCACTCAGGTAACACCGGGACCGTCACTCAGGTAACACCAGGAGCGTCACTCAGGTAACACGTCACTCAGGGAACACCAGGGACGTCACTCAGGTAACACCGGGACCGTCACTCAGGTAACACCGGGACCGTCACTCAGGTAACACCGGGACCGTCACTCAGGTAACACCGGGACCGTCACTCAGGTAACACCAGGAGCGTCACTCAGGTAACACGTCACTCAGGGAACACCAGGGACGTCACTCAGGTAACACCGGGACCGTCACTCAGGTAACACCGGGACCGTCACTCAGGTAACACCAGGAGCGTCACTCAGGTAACACGTCACTCAGGGAACACCAGGGACGTCACTCAGGTAACACCGGGACCGTCACTCAGGGAACACCAGGAGCGTCACTCAGGTAACACCAGGAGCGTCACTCATGGAACACAAACATCACAGTAGGGACGGAACACCAGAAGCGTCACTCAGGGAACACCAGGAGCGTCACTCAGGGAACACCAGGGACGTCACTCAGGTAACACCGGGACCGTCACTCAGGGAACACCGGGACCGTCACTCAGGTAACACCGGGACCGTCACTCAGGTAACACCGGGACCGTCACTCAGGGAACACCAGGAGCGTCACTCAGGGAACACCAGGGACGTCACTCAGGTAACACCGGGACCGTCACTCAGGGAACACCAGGAGCGTCACTCAGGTAACACCGGGACCGTCACTCAGGTAACACCAGGAGCGTCACTCAGGGAACACAAACATCACAGTAGGGACGGAACACCAGAAGCGTCACTCAGGGAACACCAGGAGCGTCACTCAGGGAACACAAACATCACAGTAGGGACGAAACACCATAAGCGTCACTCAGGGAACACCGGGACCGTCACTCAGGGAACACAAACATCACAGTAGGGACGGAACACCAGAAGCGTCACTCAGGGAACACCAGGAGCGTCACTCAGGGAACACAAACATCACAGTAGGGACGGAACACCAGAAGCGTCACTCAGGGAACACCAGGAGCGTCACTCAGGGAACACAAACATCACAGTAGGGACGGAACACCATAAGCGTCACTCAGGGAACACCAGGAGCGTCACTCAGGGAACACAAACATCACAGTAGGGACGGAACACCAGAAGCGTCACTCAGGGAACACCAGGAGCGTCACTCAGGGAACACAAACATCACAGTAGGGACGGAACACCAGAAGCGTCACTCAGGGAACACCAGGAGCGTCACTCAGGGAACACAAACATCACAGTAGGGACGGAACACCATAAGCGTCACTCATGCCGTAACTCACACTGATCCAGCGCCTTGCGAGGGCTCGGGAGGAGGGCAGGCACCGTGCCAGGAGAGGGCCGGCACTCAGCACAGCTACCATGGCACTCTGACAAAAACAAGAGAAAACAATGACAAAAATGTGTATATATTTGTTTACATTATAAGTTACACAGACCCCATTGTTGTGGGTGATGGGTTAGCGGCAGCTACAGCACTGAGTCGTATAACACATTATTGTCTAATGTTAAATATCTTGTTGTTAGTTAAGTATATTGTGCTCAGCCTCAGCATGTGCTCAGGTGTTAATGAGTGCTGAGCAGAGATCATGTGGTAACATATTCAGTCAACATGTTCAGCAAGTCACACCCACGCGCACACACATAGTTGTGTGTGTGTGTGTGTGTGTGTGGTGTGTACTGTGGCCCAAATGAGCCACAGAGATATTAGAAGGAACTTTTTTAGTGTCAGAGTGGTTGACAAATGGAATGCATTAGGCGGTGATGTGGTGGAGGCTGACTCCATACACAGTTTCAAGTGTAGATATGATAGAGCCCAATAGGCTCAGGAACCTGTACACCTGTTGATTGACAGTTGAGAGGCGGGACCAAAGAGCCAGAGCTCAACCCCCGCAAACACAACTAGGTGAGTACACACACACACACACACACACACACACACACACACACACACACACACACACACACACACACACACACACACACACACACACACACACACACACACACACACACACACACACACACACACACACACCACACAACACACACACACACACACACACAGTGGTGTGTGGTCCGTCGTTTTGGATGGACGTGGGTCGGGAGCTCCTGGGTCACTAGTGAAGTGGGAGGGATAATCAGGCAACTTCGAAGTGAAAAAGTGAATACGAATGAATGAAAAACTTGGAATTTGACTCAAACCATAAGGAAGTGAAGAAAGGAAGTAGAAATAGCGTAATTGAAAATAGGTGTTGAAGGCATTGTGGCAGTGGAAGAGTGGAGCAGACCTCACTCTGGCTGTGACCTCACAGCCTCAACCTGTGACCGAGGGTGACCTCACCCCGGGCAGCAACCCTTACTACACCACGTGGGGGAGACGCCTGGAGACTCACTCACATATATTGTGTACAGCAGATCAGTAAGGTACTTGGAACGCCTGTGGGTAAGGTTGTTTATACCAATGACTAAATAAGGAAGGGCGTCTAGGTCCACCAGTAATATGAATGAAGAAGAGGCTTGTGGAGAAGCTGATAGGGAAATTTGTAGAGAAGAAGGATGTTTGGATAGAGGATCTAATCCAAGGGATTAAAAGTGAGATCTTTAATAAAATACAAGACGAGGTTCAGAGACAAAAACAAGAGCTTATGGACTTATTCAGGAAGAAATCAGAAAGAGCCGGGTACCCCGAGCAGGGCAGCACGGGAAAGTGAATAACTCGGCTTGCAACTGAATGTGGCAGGAATATGGGAAGCATGGCAAGGGAAGGGGGAGTAGTGGGGGATGGAGTAGTGAGTGAGGGAGGAATGGGGGGTGTCCAGGGGAGAGGCGACTAGCATGGCAGTGCGTCACTGAGGCGGACAATCATACTCCATGGATTACTCGAAGTCAAGGCATCATCGAGGCAGGAAAGGATGAAGATGGAAGATTTTGAGTTTTAGGGGATCTTGAGAGATATTGAAGCCCAGATGGCAGGGAATGAGGTGGAAAGCCACCTCCACATTGGGCCTTACAACTGTAACAAGGAACGACCTGTCCTGGTACAGTTCACTAACGAAGAGGCAATGGAGTACATACTGCGACACATTTACTCAGAGGTAGCAAAAACTATTACAACGTGTATATTGAAGGATACATGACAAAAGATGAACAGCTAGCCCAAAGGGCGAGCCGACCTGCACATCACAACTCTTCCCATTCGAGCGTGGTTACCCACCCCACCCGTGCTAACCAGCCCACAACTGCCTCCCAGGTCACTCCCTCCCCAAATCAGCCTTCCCATCCCCCACCCCTGCTTATCTCCCCAACACCTCCCCCGTCCCCTCTGACCCCATTGCTCCAAATCCATCTGCTTCAACCCACATTCCAAGGACTCCCTCATCCCCTCAACCCCCAAAACCTGCCCAGTCCCAACCCCTCCTCTGTCCCCCTTCTTCCATGTGACCCCCTCCCTTGTGAAGGGGTCACATGGACCCCTCCCTAGCAAAGGGGTCACATGGACCCCCATAGGAGACTCCCCACCTCTTCATTTCCCTCTTCCCCCCTTCTGCCCCAATGCCCACACTTACCCCTGAGTTCCCCCTGACTAATACAACCTCTCTCTCCCACTCTCACTATCCATGCTCTATCCTCCCCTCTTCCCCCCACCCCCTCTATCCTTTTCAATCACCCCCCCCCCCCTCCCTCTCAACCTCTACCTGAATCTCAGCCTCACGCTACCTCTCAATCCCTCTATGCCTCTCAGACCCTCCCTAATTTTCAGACCCAGTATACCCTTCCTACTCCAGACCTACCTACCCAGGCCCTACCCCAGACCCTCCTACCTACCTTCCTAGATGCCCAGACGCATTCACCCCCCCAGGCACCCCCCCTGCCCCAATTCACCCCCCAGACATCCCCAGATCCCCCCAGACCCCCAGAGAAAGGGTGCACTCTGGTGGCAATTTCCAAGAAGAGTTTCAAGGTTTGGTACACCAATGCTGATGGGGTATCTAATAAAGCAGAAGAGATAAAAGAAAGAGTTAGTAAGGCAGATCCTGACATAGTTGCAATAGTGGAGACTAAAATAAATGGCATGATCTCGGATGCAATCTTTCCAGAAGGGTACCAGGTGATAAGAAAAGAGAGGACACAGAGACAGGGAGGGGAAGTGGCACTCCTAATAAAGCAGAAATGGAAGCTTGAAGACCTGGAAAATTGGGTTACCAATGAGAGCACAAGCTGTGCAGTGGGAGGAAGAAATTAGAGGAAAAACAGTCCAAGATATGATGGACCTAGTCACACGTAAATGCCAGGAGGCCGAAGAGAGATTTATACCAACATTAAAGGAAAAAATAACCCATAGTTTAATATACAGTGTAGGGAAGCAAAAATGGCCAGCAGGCAGGAGTGGAGGAAGTATGTGACGATAATCTCCTTCAAGAGATTGAGCCTGCTCTTCCCTCCAAAATTACGTCTTCACAATTATATAAAAAGACTATGGAAGAAATGTCCAACAACGACAACAACACCAGCACCAGCAAGGCTTGCCAGGGTGAGCAGAAACGTATGCAACCAGCCACCTGTTCGAACTCCAACCACCAAACTACCCGTTGATCGCTACGGCTCCGCTGATTGGTCGCCGGTCTGGCTGCACCTGCACTCGCCCCCAATACTACCTGATGTCTGGGGTCGCCCCAACATCAGTCCTCAGAATGTTCCGTGCTTTCGTAGCCAGCACTCCTCCCAGCTAGACGTTAGCGTGTACTGAGAGAGGTGGTGGCTTTAAGCCAATATTCCAGCACCTCCCACTTAACTGTTGTATTGCACTTCTTGTTATTTTGCCTTAACGTAACTTTCATTTTGTCATTTAAGTATTCTTATTATTTTGATTCATTGATTTTATTATAAGAATTTGTTTGTGCATTATTTTCATGTTTTGATTTATTTAACGTAATTAAAATTTCATTGTTAAAGTTTACTTGTGTTTTGTGTGTCTTCTCCTTACCTTACCACAGACGAAGTTCCAGTTTTTCTATTTTTTTTTATAACTATGTGACGAGGCCATACCCCTAGCCTTAAACAGCCGAACACCAACGCGTTACCGTCACAAGTTTTATGGGGGCCTGTCCTAGGAGCCTCACTCAGGTACTGGTGCCAAGTGGTAATTTATGGTAAGCGTATTTAACTCTGTTAACGTAGCTTTACTATTTTTCATTCAATTTCATTTTTTATAAGGTGCGGTGTATTGTGCATTACGAGAGTAACATATAGTGAAGGTGAGACAACTTTGGATTACGTGGTGACTGTAGGCCGCAGTCATACTCTTAATTGGTCATCTCTCCCTCCATGTTATTACTCGTATTTACCATCTATGTCCCTTGAATATTTCTCATTCTGACAGATCATCATATTGGTACCCTGGTACTGTGGTCTGCCCCGGGTCAAGAGTACCCAATCTTCTGCAATCTGACTGTAGGAGGACAAAGAGGGCCATAGTTCCTCTAGCTCGAACTTTAGTTGCTGAATTGGGACCTCAGCAGCAGTTCTCGTCACCAGTTGACACCTCGCACCCCTACACGTCAGTCAGAGATGATGATACATACAACGGTAGGGAATTAGCTTATTTTTTCAGAGCACAAAAGTTCGCTAATTCTGTAAGTATCATATTAAATTCAGTGGGAAAAACTTGCTTTATGTCCTATAGAGACTTGGCAAGGTATGCCTACATCCTTGGACTACCAATTTTACTTTTGAAGCATTTAACTGTTTCATTTGTTTTCGAAACTTTGTTTCATTTGTTAGTAGGATTTTCTTGCCCTTATTCTCTTACATGAGTACCGGGTACAAGATTTCCTGCGCCCTTGATTTAATTTAATCATTTAATATCTTTCACTTAACGTTAATTGTTAAAGATCACACAGGATAGGTACCAGTTGCCACGTTGTCCTGTTTCTGACATTTCATTATTGAACATTCGTGTACCTTTATTTGCTAATTTCACCATGTTTCGTCTCCAAACTTTCCGTGCAAATCCAGCAGGTGAAATAGGGACTTTGAGTCGTGCCAAGAGGACTGAACTACAAACTCTTGCACATGAGTATCAACTAGAAGTTCCCTACCAAGCCAACAAAAATGACCTACACAACCTGTTGCTGGATTACTATTTAGAGCAAGGTAAGATAGACTCTGAAACTCATGAAACTTACTATATTGCAGAGAAAACTGACTTGGCTACGATGAAACTTAAACTAGAGCTGGCCAAGATTGAACGTGAGCAGCAAAGAGAAGCAGCTGCCATACGAAGGGAAGAGCACGAACGCGAAGCTGCTTTGAGGAGAGACGAACAAGAACGTGAAGCTGCCTTGAGGAGAGACGAACAAGAACGCGA